TAGGTTAGTTTTAAGGAATTTCGAATTTATTTTTATTCCATTGAAAAGCCAGTTAAATTTCACGTAGGAAAAACGTATCAGACTTGAAAATGTATTCCTCCTGTGACCATGAAAAATTGGTTATCAGAGGTGAAGCTTCGATCAAAAATATGCACGAAATTTATTGAAAAAGTGTATCATTCCCCGGTCAGAATTTTTTTTGTGACCTTGACACTTCGATGGGCCTCAGAACGGACCTTCTCCTCAACTTTAATCATGATTTGGTGGTGAAATCGATTTCGGTTCGGCAAGACCAAGGACAAACTTAAATCGGAAATCAAGTCAGAAATAGATTTCTTCAGCCAGGTTTTCACGAATTTCGCTGCATTTTTACTGTGGGGTCCTGCACACAGGTCGGTGGCTTTCCACCCAATATGGACTGGTCAAGGGGTGTTCCATCTTCATTATGACGTTAATAAAATATTTTTTTGAACTATCTCCTCTCCGTAATTGAGGAAATTGGGCAGTTTTTGGTTTTGCGTTTTCCAGAACGCGTAGACTTTCGTCCATGACAGAATTTTCAGAATAAATTTCAGCCAAAATCAGGATTTTCCAAACCGTAATAACTTTTTAATGAATGGACAACCCGGTTGTAAATTCTATTAAATATTGTCATATCAACGAATAATCCAAGTGCATTAAAATCATTTAAAAGAAGGTAAAAGGACGGAAGCATTACAGCTTAAATAGAACTTTGCAAGTAAAATAGTGGTAAGTAAAAATTCAAACCATAGTGAATACGTCAAATTATACATTTTTCTAAAAAAGTAATGCATATTTAAATGTGTTTATAGTTTTAGCTGGAATATTTGTATAAAATTTCACCTTTTTTCAAGTACCGTTACATACTGGAGAAGTGAATAGAAGGTGACAAGTATCACGTACAAGAAGTAGAAGCAGCCATTGTGCATGGCTGTGATTGTGTGGAGCGTATCTCCAACGATTAAACCGACCAACGCGTACCACTCCACCTCGTTTCGGTCTACCGTCTCACAATTTGGACAATTTAATAAAATAGAGCCCAGAAGTGGAGGAGAACAGGGATCCATCAAGAAATGTGCCGCGACACAGAAACACGTACTTTCAGGGACGCTTGACACCAGGAACAACATTACTTTGAGGGCTGTCCATTTATTATGGGCACGTTTCTGGGAAGATGTAGTATCTATTTAACGAATTTAAAAGATTCACACTAAAAATGTGGACGCGAACCATGTTCAATCCAGATTATTATTTTTTTCTACAAGTTAGTTTGAAACATTAACCCTTTCGAAGCAATAAATATTTGACACGGTCTTTATGCTGATGCGAAAAATTTAGACTGTTTAGAGCCCCCCAAAATAATAGGTGTGAATTGTAGTTGCGAATTTTATTGTCGCAGAAACGTATTGAATTTTTTGTACATCTGCTCAAGTCCCCAACTAGATAAGTGTTTTTTCTAAAGAGTTTCTTTTTCAAAATAACATGTCAAATAATAATGTGGTAAGAACATTGTTTGCGTCCCCATTGTGAGTATATTTTTCTATCAAATTTATTAATCAGACGAGTACCAAAATGCTTATCAAATTTCACCAGAGCGTTTAAAAGCCGTGCCGCTTCGACGTTTGGATTCCACCCGTAGCTGAACAGTAGCAGGTTTAACGTGCACCCGAAATTCAACGTGGCTTCCATCATTTTTCCGTAACAACCGTTTGTTCCCAGTCGGTCAACCACGGTGAACATGGCGAAAAGACTCCAGGACTTGCACAAGTTTCCTGAATACACTGGAAAATTTCGTTTCGTATACGACCACTTCATTTTCAACCGGGTCAAAATCGAAGATCACAGCTCTCAGGAGTTTTAGAAGTTTGATCTGGAATTTGACGTAAGGTAAAAATATTTCTGACAGCATTTCGACCACTAACAAAATCGAAGCTACTCGTTAGCCTGGCAATTTTGAAGAAGAAGGAAAATAGAGTTAGGCATGAGGATATATGTTCCCAACTCGATATATTTGTCTGCATTGATGCATAACTGCGTTATTTACATTATTGATGAATTCCCGACTCAAATTGCAACTAGGTTTTGTGCATAAATGTTTCAAACTTCAAAGTTCAAATGATGGACATTTAATCAAGTTATTTTGAGAAAGTTGATGAAATTGAAATATTAAAGATCAATCAAGGAATATTTATTCTCCAGAGCTGGAATAATTCTGATTAAAAGATTCTGCTAATCTATAATTTGGCTATGACAGTTCTAAAAAACTAATCATAGTCCATAATCTCACTCAGGAGGGGAGCTTCACCACCTGCCCTTCTGGGATCTCGATGCCCTTTGGATATGTGGTAGGGTTCCATGAGTGTACTAAAACCCTGAAGTGGTTTGACTCCATGGCCACATTTGCACCCGCCACCCATTCGAATGGACGAAAACACGAACAAAGCCTTTCATGTGCTTTAAATGTCACCAAAAATCCAATTTTGCTCGGATTTTTATAAAATTTACATTTTTGTGATCCCAGATACTTATGTGATCATATCCAGCAGATATCACAACTTTTTTGAAATTTTGAATTTTTAGCCCGAGCCAGGGCTTATGTAACCACCATGTCCGTCTGTCTGTCTGTCTGTCTGTCTGAGACATCATAGAGCAAAAAGTATTTGACCGATCGATTTGAAACTTTGCACACTTGTTCATTAGGTCAATCTAAAGGATGAGTTCGAAGATGACCATGATCGGTCCAGTGGTTGAGCTGTAGGGGTCACATGACCACCACCGGTGGGGTTATTTTGCACCAAATTTCAAATAGCTTTATTTTGCATTAAAAATGAGGTTGTCCAAACGAATACCATGTGCTTCATATTTCGACATATTTTAATTGGCAATAATTAGCATCTAATTGGTTCTTATTGGTGGTGTGGGTGACCGGTTGGGGTTTTTATGAAAATTTTCAAAATGGTCGTAAAGGGTTGAAAACTGGTATGAATATGGATGGTGATCCCAGAAAGTCATTTGCAAACTCAGAATTTCATATTTTTTGCCCCAGACGGGGGGTGTGGGTGGAACCACACTGGTTTTTCAAAATAGTCGTATAGAGTTGTAAATTGGTATGGGTGATATGTTTGCTTTGCTACTGTACTAAATTTAATAGAAAGGATAATTTGAATTAAAAAAATGTAATTTTAAAATGCATTAGTATTTAAATCGGATGGAATCACACCCTGGCTCGGGCTGCATAAAGTTGTACTGAGAGGTTTTTCGAATAATTCATCAGCTCGAAAATTTCGAAAATTTTAAAAAAGTTGTGATAGCTACTGAATATTATCAGACAAGTATCTGGGATCACAAAAATGCAAATTTTATCGAGATCCGAGCAAAATTTAATTTTTGGTGGATTTTTTAAGTTGGTAACTTTTGTGGTTTTCATCCCTTTGAGTGGGTGTGGCGGGCGCAAATGTGGCCATTGAGTCAAACCACTTCAGGGTTTTAGTACACTCATGGGACCTGTCGTCGATTTAAATAATTATTTTAAATGAATTTGACTAGATGATTATGATTTATGAATTTGACTAGATAATGATTTATGAATTTGACTTCATGATTGTATTGTATGCATTTGTCATGATAATTTATACGTATGTGCATGCATGGTAAATAATGAGAAAAGCAGGGTGGAAGATTCAAATGAGTAGCCAGCCAGTCTGGATTTTAAGTGGAAATTGACCACATTTTATCTTCCTTTTTGTGCTCCCTTGAACTTTTGTGAACCTTTGTCACCCCTCCTCTCATTGGTTTAAAATTTTAGTGACCCCCTCCCTCCGCGTCTCCTTCCGTGTAGCCCATTGGAGATTGGGTGTAATTGTAGGCAGTGTGTTGCCACATATATGTGAAAACTTTGTGAATTTAATTTTAGTGTCCCTCCGACAGCCGAACAAGAACAGTTTCCTCTCGTCACACACTCTTAAACACTCTATTTGTAAGTAAAAACTTGTGACTAAATAAATAAAGCTACCACCCAGTAACTATTGTGACCACACCACGTTCTTTACGCCGACACGGTCACATTTTACGCCACCACCGAGTTACATATTAGTCACAGTCACAAACACATCAAATACATACAGTCCTCGATAATAAACTACAGGACCCTACCACATATCCAAACGGCATCGAGATCCCAGAAAGGCAGGTGGTGAAGCTCTCCTCAGTTTTTCGGGAATTAGAAATAATTCCCGCAAATAGTACCATTAACACAATATCCGTGACAGATTACGAATCCTGATTAATTCCAAATGTGATTACCAGGATTCGTAATTAATCCTCAATCTGGATTATTTACTCTGTTTTATTATCAAATCACGCTAGTTTGTCGGACGACATGTTGGGATTGCCAATGACGATTAAAGTGACATACTATGTAACCAAAAAATAATTACCACAACATATGCAAACTTTAACTTTACTGCGGTTGATATTATTCTTTATGGAAATAAAAGTCATTAATCACGAAAATAATCATGATTGCTAATAGTAATACGTAATTCTGCCTTTTCGCGAAAGCATGGATTAATCAATGCAAACATGAATTAATCACAAGATAAGAAGGTAATCACACTCCATATGATCTTGATCTTGTGGTTAATCCATAATTTTTAATCCACCTTCCAAAACAAAATAGTCACCCAGCTCTGTTGTACCAGATACCTAAATATGTACATAGATATATGCGTCTTGGGATGGCAAACAAATAATCAAGTTTTTGGAAGGGTCTCTCAGAAACATTCTTCATGAATGCATTCATAAATTGATTAAAGTTGGAACACACAATTATAAATATTTGAATCGATTCAGACTAACTTGATTGATTATTATGGCGTAGGAGGAGATACTATGCACCTTCTGTTCTCAATTTTTGAGGCCCTTTGCACTCTTGAAAACTGTTCTCTTCATATAAAAGTAAATGGACTCTTGTGACAAAATACAGTCGGGAAAATGTATTTATTGCCCAAATCGATTTTGTTACTTGAATTTGGAATTTTTCTTTAGATTAGTAACATTAATATACTGATCTCGTAGAGTATTCCTATAATCGATACATATGTTCATATGTAAATAATTGTACTTATTTTATATAGTAAAATATTTAAGGAATAGTTATTTCGTAGTGTTAAATTCTCATCTCAACAACTTCAATCATCCTTGACTCCGCCACCCCATTGCTTACACAGGCCGCAGAAACGTGCAAAACCCGATTCGTATCAATTTCCATCATCACCTCGATTGTTTCCAGATTTGCCTCCGCGGGAGGGATCCCATTTAGATAAAAGTCGCCCAACTTATGGTTCTCGACCGCTTTCGCCGCCTCCCCTTGAAATATCGAGACAAGAACGGAGGTCTGTTGATCATTCGCCGTTCGAAACTGTGCCCTCGTTACGTTTGGGATGGGAGTATTTTTGGGAATGACGACAGAGTAATCGCCACCCCAAACTTCTACCCCATACGACATCTGCGTCACGGTGGTGACGTGTTGATAGTCTGGGGAACCCCGGCGGATACTACCCGTCAGCATGGCCACCCTCATGGCCGCACCATGAGCCACAATTTGGTCAGGATCAATCGACATTTGAATGATGGTCCGATTACCAAAAAACTTCTTCAGCATGGCCTGAACTTTGGGAATTCGGGTCGAACCCCCGACCATGACTACCTCCTTGATCTGACCCTTATCCACCCTGGCCGCCTCCAGACAAGCGTGCGTCTTTTGAATGGCAAGCTGGAAAAGGGACTTGTTCATGTCTTCGAATTGATCTCGAGTTATACTGACGTCCAAGTCCACGTGGAGGGTCTGACCCTTACCATCCTGAAGCTTAAAACAGTCCAATTTGACGGCCGTTTGCATCGCGGAGCTGAGGACTTTCTTTGCTTTCTCACATGCCAACTTAAGCCTTTGGAGTTGCCCTTTGTCAGAAATTATTACCGTGCCATGCTTCAGCTTAATTTGAGCAAGAATGAATTGCATCATGTTTTGATCAAAGTCCTCCCCACCAAGATTTCTGTGCCCATCTTGGCTAATAATGTTTGACTTTCCCTTGGCCATCTTGACTACGGCGACGTCAAACGTGCCCCCACCCAGGTCAAAGGTTAGGACGTACTTGCAGTCCAAATTAACGTTGAGCTTATTATATGCAATTACCGCAGCGACCGGCTCCGAGATAATTTCAAGCACGCGAAGACCCGCCGCCTCACCGGCCAGCTTGGTAGCCGTGATCTGTTTCTCAGTAAAATATGCGGGCACGGTGATAACAACGCTTTTTATTTGGCCAACTAAATTTAACCTTTTCTCAGCCTCGGAGCGGAGCCCTTTAAGAAGTTCGGACGCAACGTGCGGTGCGGATACGAGAGTATACTTGGTTTTACTATTTTCCGGACAAAATATCTTGATCTTGGGTTCACCCCCGTCATTGACTACTGCGAATGGCCAGTTGCTGATGTTTTTCTGCAACTCGGGATCCGAAAATTCCCTACCTATCATCCGCTTTGCGTCGTAGGCTACGCTCTCCGAATGCGAATAGGAGCCTTCCTTAACAGAGTCGCCAAAACCTAGGGTATGCCCATGCTCGTTGAACCTGACATAGCTCGGGGTGGTGGGTAGCCCGTCACCATTGGCGACTGTTTTAACACAACCCGCCTCATAGATGGCGACACAGGAATAAGTGGTGCCAAGGTCGATCCCGATCCCCTCCACGGTCGGATAATTCATGTCGTTTCGTTGGACAAAGGTGGAATACAGAATTTCTAGTCGGCAATCAAATTCTCTAACCTTCTCCGGAGAGAATATCTTCCTTTCTAGGAGAATATGAGACCTAACTACGTTGTGCTCCCCACGAAGAACATTATCTCCTAAGAAGCAGTTTGTGTCGAGGCGTAAATTCATTTCTTTACAGTACTCTTTCTCCCCGTGTTTGAAATTGTCGTCCTGCTCGCCTAATAGGTTTTCGAACTCGGGAGAAACATTCTCATCAAAAGTGGCCTGTATAATGTTTTTCAGAATACCGATATGACTAATGCATAGTGGGTCGCTAGGGCCGGAAAAAAATTTCTGAAATTTTTTAACGGCCTCGCGTAAATAACGGGCATGCATTTTACGGAGGTCTTCCACGTTTGCGACCTGCTCTACCACCTCGGACATTTCATTGTCATACTCGTTGCTTACGACGTCCTGGAATCGTTTGATGGAAAGTGGCCTACGGCGTTGATAGCTTGTCAGGATATTGTCGAATTCGTTGGACACCTCTGACCGAAAATCGTCAAGAAGGCCGTGATTTTTTGTTTGTTGGTCAGAGTCAGACCTTAAATTTACCTCGGCTTCGTACACTTTATCATCGTGCAGTGCCCTAAGTTCGGAATCGCTGCGTATTACCTTGTCCATCATGAGCCAGTTCTTATCATGTTTGTACTTTGACATTGCGACCTCAATCAGATTCTTCTTACGGTCACAAATATCTCTTTGATGCTGCCGGAACTTTTCTTTGATGCTTGAAAAGGATGAGGCCAATTTCTTATACATATACGCCTGGAATTCGGTTGTTTCCTGTTGCAAGTTTTCTCTAGCGGATGACGTTAGCTGGCACCATTTTTTCTGAAGATCCTCTGGTGTGTACAGATTATCAAAATCTCTAATCGTTTCATCCTCAATGTACTTGATTATCTGATTGACTGCGGATTTTTGAACTCGTTCTCGTAAACCCTTATACACTTCGTTTATTTGACGCTCAAATTCTATGTAGAATTCTTCAAATTCATTAGGATTTTCGAAGTTTTCTTTCCTGGCGGTAAGGTCGTTTGATATTTCTTCAAACGCATTTTCGTGAATTTCCTTTAATTCTTGCGAACACATTGAAGGGTTGTCGGTCATTGCCTTGGACAATTTATCAACATACTCCTTGGCAAACTGGGCGGGCTGGAGATAATGGTTGTCGTCGTCAGAAGCAATGTCATCATTAACGGAATTCTTAAGGGAATTATTTAATTTTCTTCCAGGCGCTTGCATGGGTAAATTTGTCGTGTCCATTTTTTAGTTGTTGTGCGTTGCTAATAATTAATATCAAACTTAAATGAGCATAATTTGCGAGTGACAAAGTACTTTGTGACCTTCCTCAGCATATAAATAGTTAGGTGTTTACCAAATTCTGCACCGAATTATCGTCTTGGAATTATAACGAAATCTCCTTAACCCATAGATTGATTGGCTTCTCCTGTTATGCAAATGGTTGATGTGTTATCAGATTAGTAAATCTGCATACGTAATTATGCAATAATAAAAATGTACAGAGGGAACGTCCATATTTTGCGTGAAAAAATTATCGGGGAATTATTTTGGTTCTTGTGTCTTACTTCAGTTGAGCGTAACATTAGTGAGATACAGATTGGATGTATGGGTGGTCAATAAATTAAAATTTTTTCTCCGTTCTCAAAAGTGTATGACGTACTAGATATTAGAAATCAGGTGATGCCGATGCCGTCCAAATGAGCGTAGAAACCTATAAATTAATTCAATCGTTGATTTTTATCGTGTTCTCACATACTTGGAATCCCTTCTAAATAATAATTAGTTCTAATAATTAAGAAACGACAGTACGGATTTGACATTAAAATTGCATCTTAAATTAAAAATTATCAAAGCGGGAACTAAAATTGTTTTAGATTTGGATGGTAATTCTAGTCAATATTTGAATACTTACGTAATATGATTGATTTTGTCGCCAGCAAATGTTACCAACTCGCCCGGTCAGCAATGACTAAACAAGTAATTTTTTACTGAACAGCTGCAGCAAAATTCATTTGCAACTTCAAATCTGTCTGTATCGATACTGGGATTATTCGTCACTTCCTTGTACTCAATGTACATAGTTCTGGATATAAAAAATTGACAGGAGTTTAGTTGTAGCGTCTCTGCGGTTCATTAACCCCAAAAGTGACCGGCGACGTTATTACCGGCAATAAATATCTACAGTATTATAAGGTTTATCAGCCACTGGACGCCAACCCAAGTGATCTGTTATCAGTCACTCCACTCGAATCATGTTGGTTTATCTGGAGAGTTCGTTCACTGAACAAAAGCTAAGTGATTGTGACTCCTCTCCTTGATTGAAAACTGATGTTTATGTACCAACTAATACGGACGCTACACAGGTAAGGTTATTTATTTGTACATACTTCATGCAAAACTAGGCATTTACAAACATAAGTGCAATCGCACATGACAGTTCTTGCTTGTGGCGTCTGCTTGTGTAAATGCCATCCACCTTGCTGAAAACAAGTATGTCTACAAACTGGTAGTGATGGGTATTACAAAGCATTTTTTGTTATCTGTCTCTCCACGCGAGGCTTTGTCTCAATTCTTGTTGGATGGAGTGAAGCCGTCATCCATCCAACCCTCCTCATCCTGGGGTGAATAACTCGTCTGTCACTGTCAAGCAGTTTTGACTCTTGTACAAGCAGCCGATAACGAAGAACTGCGTACCTGCCCTGATCTACGAAAAAGTATTCCCTTGCTTAAAATGCAACAAAGTAAAACTTACGACTATAATGCGCTCCAAAACCTGAGTCAGCGTCTTCGTTGCATTAATCAAGAATGCATACAGAAAATAGAGGAAATGAAGGAGCCATGCGGAGTTTACATTAAGGAGGTTAATAAGGGTAACAATAACTTGCAGTTATGATCAAATTAACAAGGTGGTCAACAATTACCGCAGCCTTTTTTAATTTTGAATGCAATAAATGTAACCAGTGTTTGTAATTTTTTCATATGGTGTGACCATTTTATAACCACCTTCTATTTCAACCATCCTATTAGCCATTAATAATCTACGTATTTACTAATTTAGTTCGCCTGGCACATCGATTGGATCAGGTGGCCAAGACGGTGACAGAGTTGGAAGGTCAGATAGCTACAAAGAGCGGGTTCCACTATACCGTCGCGTATCGCGAGATGGTGACACATGCTGCTAAGATAACAAAGGAATTGGACTCCTTACTTCCTGATGATGATGACCTACGGAACTCACGTCTTGTCCTGCTAAAACGGGTTGAAACTGCCTTGAATGGAGCAAAATTAAAAATTATTAAGGGACACGCTGATGGACAACCGTGTAGAGGGTGCGAAGTTCAGCACATTTAGGTTCCAAACTATCACACATAATGCGAGTTGAATAAAGATAAATGTGCATAAAAATAAACTAAAATGACAATTAATTTTCGGGAATTATTTATTTCGACGAATAAAAATACGTACGTAATAACATGCATGTTTACCTAGGGCAAATTTGTATCGATTGAAATCAAGTACATTAATTTATTTATTCATGTTTTCCAACATAATTTGAATATGTAAGTTGGCTGATATTTGATTCATGTTGTAAGACTGGTTGGAGTGCCCGGTCCCAACAAGTTTTGTACACGTGGGACGATTACAGGTTTCAAAGCCCCTGGGAGAAGGGTGGTCTTAAATTGGGTGATCAGCTCTGAGCGGATAGATTTGCTTTCATGGGCGAAAGCATAAGTCCCTCCGGATGACGATGCGATTTCACGAATGTTGTTAAAGTCGACATCTTTGCCAATCCCGATCGTGAAACATCGCCACCTTTGCCGATTATGGGCAACGAGCTCAATCGTTTCTTTTGGCTGGGAAACCTAATAAATAGGAAATCTATGTGAGGGATGGATTAACCACATCTAACAACGGGGCTCATATAATGTTCAACCCAGACTATTATTTTTTGACCAGCTCAGGATCAAAAGCCAACTTGTTAAAAAATCGGTCAGTGCCACAGTTTAACAAAATTCAGAGCTTTAAGGGCGTCAAACGGTCAGGAAATTGTCTTACGGACTCTGCGCCTGGCGGCTACTGGTCAGTTTTTTGCTCGAATTTGCTGAATTTTGCGCATCAGCGCAATTTACCCACACTAAATGTTGCTACTACAGGGTTGGTGTCTCAAACTTTGGAGTAAGTCACAAGTTGTCGGCCCCGGATTTCGATCTCCTATTGGATATGTTGTGGTACTGCATTAGTGTAGAAAATGTGAAGGAGGGCTCCATGAGCCCATTTACGCTCGTCACACCCCCACAAGGGCGACCAACCCCGTAGAGTTGCCGTACTCGACAAAAATCGAGTTTTGGTCAGATTTGGAACTTGTTTGAAATTTTCAATATTTTGGAAGATTTTCTGACCAAGCGTATATATTAAAAAAATTCGAAATTTCAAAAAAGTTGATTTTGCTATTCGATATGATGAAGCAACTATGTGGGAGCACAAAAATGTAAATTTCTTCCAAATCTAACAAAACTCGATGTTTGGCGATGATTTTAGTGAGACAACTCTGGAGGTTTGGGCGCCTTCGGGGTGGCGGGCGTAAATGGGTTTTACCCTCCTTCAGTTTTTCTACACTCATATATACAACATAGGCTAAGGAGATCAAAATCGGGCGCCGACAACCTGGGACCTTCTTAGCCAGTTGAACGGAACCTTGGTTGAACGTGGTTTGAATTGCAAGTAAAGTATGCACACACCTGTCCATCTGTAATTATGTAAAGTTGTCTCAGGTGTGCAGGGACAGGTTTGCTTGACAAGATATCTTGCAAGACTGGGAAAAGGTTGGTGTATCCCATTGCATTAATTCCTATAAGTTCAGATGAGACGGGAATAAGAGTAAAAATTAGTGGCGACACTAAATGACTGAATTAGTTACCCTAAAAACTAAACCCTACGCTGAACTAAATGCTTTCCCTAAGATTATCAATAACTATCCCTATTTATCTTACCACAAATAAAGAAGAAAGGTATCCTTATTATGGCACAATTGCATAGAAACTCACCATCCAAAAACTTCTTGGCGATGCAAATGTTTTCTTGAGTGTATGGTTGTGATGCTTCAAAAATCATTGAATGGGTTCCATTAAAGGCAACCACATTGAAGAAACAGCTTACAGGGAGGGACTGGAGGGCAAACTAGGTGACCAATTAACAAGACATGGCTTAGTTTGTAAGGCGTGACTGTTGTAATAATGGTATAAAATGAAATAGGAATTTTTATGGAGTCAAACGTTCATATCGCAAAATTTGCTCCATTTTTGCAGATAAATTACCCGTAGTAAACTTAGAGACGAGTTCACTCCGTTTTTGAGATGATTTTTGAGATACCCCAAAATGAATATACCAAAACAACACCAGGTCAAAGTTTGATCAGATATAGTGAAAATAATTCATGGAATAATAATGTGACTTGAAATTTTTGACTAATTTTTGAAATATTTATCCACTGATTGGAGTAGAAATTGACGAATTTTAATTCTTACGTGTAGAGCCTGCTTGGCCAGAACAATTTTGTCTCCGTCCATGGAACTGGATCTGTCCAAGATAATTATAAATTCATATTTTTGATCGTCACATCGCAAATTGGGCTTTATAAAATCAGATTTTATCATTGCGGTTTTGCTATCCATTTTTTGAAATTTTTTTTATTCGACTAAGTATTTGAGAAGTAAAAACAAAATGTTGAGGTTAACTTGCTTCTGCTGCTCTTGTGCAAAAACACATTGGTGGAGGGAGCACACAGCAAAGATTTTGTTTACTCAATTCAATGACTTCTCCAGATTAGGGCTTGAACTCTTATCTACATCCAGACGTGGAGGGCATTTCTGTGTATTTTGCATACGCAAGTGAACGGCAATGCTTTATTTACCTATGGATCAATGCCTCTTCTGTTGTTTGATAAGTGTCAAATGCTTATGAGTTGAACTTTGCTACTTATAGACAGGTAAATTTTTTATTAGGTATGTAACTCTTTGACAATCTAAAAGGCAAAATATTTACGGGTCTTTACTCTCGCTGGGCGGGACATGACTAGGCAGATTTTGAGTAATCGCTGCATCACTTTTGCCTACTTATGTACATAATTATTTATGGACAATGAACCTTGTCTCATCCGGCATTTTACTTCCTCCTTGGGGAAATTTGTATTTATTAAAGACCTTCGTACATACATTAAAGTAAAGATCAATAGGAGGAACAAATACTAAATATAATCCGGACATAGAGCTTAGCAAGCTTTACATTCGCATCTTGGCTTGGTGTTCAGCAGCCGAGAAAAACTTGCTCGTTTCAAGGATATAACTTTGTTATTTACAATGTGATGGTGTAACGTGTAGCATTCAGATTTGGTGGTATTGTAAAATTATGTATTTAGTCCGAGTCAATGCAACCAACGTGTGTAAAGGCAGTTTGTGCGACAGTTGTAATTTCTTTAAAGATTTGAGGTCAAAGTTAAGGAAATTGGACGATTCTTAGAACGCAGAGGAATAAAACCGTTCTATTCGAACGAAAAAAATGTAAATTCCTGAACTTGTTCTTGAAATGTTTTGAAAACCCATTGCCCAAACTGCCTCAAGAAACGTTGGTTGAATTGTCCTGGACGATATAATTAAAACTTTCAACAAAATCAGACTGCAACGCTTTACACAGTCACATTGTTAGATATCGAACAATAATAATCCTATCGCTTTTGAGCATTAAATTCTTTCATTTTCTACGCACCTGAAAAGTTAGAACTCTGCATTTTTTATAAATTGTACGATATACTTGTGGTCGTATTCTGAATAGACTTAGGTGTGGTCAATGTTTAATTTTAAAAGGACCAAAGTGCACAAAAAAATTTAGGTTGATCTATTTGAGTGCAATTTGAGTGCCGAAATAATAATGCGTGAATTAAAATCTCGTAATAAGCTGAGATGCCAATATGTTGGCCCAAGAAGTCTAGTAGTGACGAAAAATTTTTAATTTAAAAACCACACCTTCCGCCGGTGTGGTTATTAGTTATTTATTTATTGTTAACGTAATTAAAGGTTTACAAATTTAGAATTGCACTTATGTCTTTTTAGAATTTTTATGCAGTTTGGTCTTTCTAAAATTAAGCGTCGATTGCACATATATAGGTCTTTTTAAAATTAGCTATCGACTGCACCTAAGCCTTTTTAGAATTAGTACGATGATGCACAGAAACTTGTTATGAACCAGCACCCGTCATTCATGTTGGGGGGATACCTTACATTTACCAATAAGGCAATTAAAGCTTCGTTAGATTCACACAAAACAACGCGTCTGCCAAACGTGGATCCTGATTCGACAGTTGCAAAACCTATCTGCAGCTATATAACTTCAAATTTCCGCCCCGATCCAATGGCGTCCATAAATACGAATAAACGGGATAATAAACAGGTAATTGCACACTAAATATTTTCGGTGTATGTAACAATAAACTCGAATAATTAAACTTTCTATTTTGCAAGTATTTTGCGGAAATTAATAGTCGACGGGTTGATTTTAGTTTAATCATCTCCTATATATGCAATTACAACATGATTTTGTCTGTGTTTTGTTTCCATTCTTTCACTTCACATCACATCACGTATAAACAAAAATTTGAGTTCTAACTCATTGGTATCTTTTTTACTGTAGACCAACAATTTACGTGGTAGCGTTGCAAGTAAGAACTTTCCTACAAAGTATTCTGCCCCACCGAGTGGACATCTATCTCGCTCCCGAATTTCACCGGATGAATCAAAAATTTCAACCCACCCTCCCGTCAAATTTCACAACGATTATGTAAACAATCTGTTTGTCTCACTTGGTCGTTTACAAGAAGAGGAAAGCAGATCCAAAAAATATCCAATGGATATATGGAGCATATGTGACCAGTGGGGAATCTCTAATATCCGAATTAAACTGGATGAGAATATCAATGCCACATTTCGTGGGTGGGCCACTGAGGGGTTCAGGTTTGGCCAGGATTTTTGTTTCGAAAACGCAATCGAACGCATATATTGGGAAATGTATCAGGAAAACCCTGATAATAGGAGATTATGTAACGAGTACCAGGATAGCTTAATACTTCGAAAGCGGAATAGAGTATTGATTGTTCGAGCTGCGATCGAAACACTTAAAGAATTTATGCAAGAGGTGAACCAAACATCTGGCAGTTCTAACCGCGATTACAGACTCAGTATAGCATCAAGTAATCGCCAACTTTTAGCTTCAGAAACTTTCCTATATATTGTTCGCAACCCGAATCCAAATCGTCAGGACTTTCAGTTTTACCAACGTCTAATTCAGACTGGTTCGGAGGCTTTGTTTTCCCAATTTTATGCAACTATGGTCCATGATTTAATTTCCGAATGCTTCACCGAACTACAAAAGAGGGTAGATGTAAATTTCATGCATTGTTTGAAATACCTCAAAATCGCGCAGGAACTGGGAAATAAGTACATCAGGACCTTGCGTAGCTTCAGGTACTGTAGAAACGGTATAAATATCATAAATGATGAACTGTTGCAAAATTTCGTTGCGCTGGTGGATGTTAGTATTGACACTTTTTCAAGTCGAATTTTTCAGTCGCTTGATGAAATGCAGGAATACGCCGATAAGAAAATGATGTCCTTAGTTGCAAAGTATAACGAGGGTATGCTCGCACATGTATCTACGAACGAAAACAGCATTGTTACGGCCCACAAGAAAATGTGCAGCGATGCAATAACCATGTTTTTTATGGAGTTAGAGAATTGTAAACATTGCACGGCAGAACTAAGAGAGTACTTTGTTACCAAGCTTAAACTACGTTTGGACGCAGATTTCGCAATTCATTTGGAAAGGTGCAAAGCAAGAAAAATTGAACGCCATTCCGCTGAAGTGGTTGAGCCTGGTTGGGATACTTACGCAATAATTTATTTGGAATTAGACAAAATATCCTTTGTCTTTGTGTCCAATGAGGAGGGATATCATCAAAGGAATATTAAACAAATTAAGGGTTCCGAACATGTCATAATTACCAAGGACAATGAAGCCTTTGTTGGAGATTTAGTCACGTTTTCTAGCCAAAGGATCGATAGGAAAAAATTAGTCCAGTCGTTACTCTCGTGTAGGGAGAAAAAAGCCGACACAGAATTATTTTTTGCCATCCTATTTAAACACATTGTCCAGCTGAGGGGTGACCACGTGGTGGACAAACTTGTGCTCATATTAACACAAAATTTTACTTGCACGTTTTCGACCTTGGTCCAGAATGCCCTTGAAACAGCACACGTAAAGGATTCTATCGTAATTAATGACGCTTATAACCTACCAGTTAGCAAAAAGGTGGGCAAATACAACCACGAACTAGACAGGTGCTTCTCCTCTTGCCTCTTTGTTCTTCATGAAACACGTTTTGAAAAGGGCCGTTTGGATGAGAAGGTACTGTCTTATTTTGACCTGCATGAGCGCAGGCTTCGAATGACGATATCCCACATGGACTCAAAGTCACGGGCAGAATCCAAGAAAATTTATGTAACAAACTTTCTAACGCGAAGAATCAATTTTAAAATATTGAAAACAAGCACAATTTCTTTTTCTGAAGTGATTGACAAAAGGGAGGAAAATTATCTTGGATATCTTGAGGTGAAAGGTCAAACTAAGAATGCTACTTGTACCTTCTCCTGTCACATTTCACCTAGTCTAAACTTCGGTGTTAGAGTTGAAGAAAGGGACGATTGTTCTATTTCGTGGACTCGAACGACACGAAAGAACCAGCGGGAGGACAGTGTAAGAATTAAAAATAATAGGGCAGAACTTGAGAAGGTATCGTTTTCAAAGGACATGGTACCAAATCCGGTACAAATTTTGAAGAATGTTGTTCTTCGAGTTGAGCACAATTTGAGGCATCATCCAGGCTTGAAACAATTTACGGTTAATCGCATTACAAAAGAGGTGGTGGCTGCGGAGGAAATAATTAAAGATGCGGGTGACCCCGATCGGATTCAAGATAAGATAAAGCTATTAGAAAAGTCGATACCGCTTTGGTTTAAAAGTGTTTAAAGATTGTTACAGTCTTACGTAAAGATGTTACCCTTTTGGAAAGAATCAAAATTATGTTCGTGTTAAACTATACTAAACGCAAAGTAACTTGCCTCTTTGTATAGTTAACATTACGCTGGTTTTATCATAATTTACTTAATCATTTACATAGTTACTTTCCAGAAAGTAACATTATTTTTAACTATGTATAAGTTACAAAATTATGTTGTAGCATGTGTAATAAAAAACGCAACTGTTGCAACGTAACTGTTGCGTTGCATGCAAATTTTTATCGATATCTATACATATTTACGACTATTTATAGAGTGGCCATTAAAATTGTGTTATCAGAAACTGGGTTTTATGCAGAGAATTGGCTAGATTTTATGCAGTAAAATTTATGCCGAAACAATTTGTGCACAAAATATGCAGAATTATACATAATTGTCCTAAACCTTTCTGCAGAATATTTATATCTGTCAGAAGTTTTATGCAGAATCGTTCATACTTTTTCTTCACAAGCCATTGTTCCGGCTACTTGTGTAGAATTATGTCAAATTCGACATACGATTTTCACCCCTAACTCAATTCGGCTTGAGAAAAAAAAATACGTGACGATTCGTTTAAAAATTGGTTAGAGTGTAACTTATCTTGGAGTTTGATATGGAATTTCATAAATTATTCAACACGTAAAATGCATTATTTGGTAGTGGATTTGCACCAAGCAAATTTTTGTTCTTTAATGTTTGACAATGTATTAAGTATTTATGTAAATAATATATTTACCCGAAACCTACCATACATACATACATACATGCATACATGTTATATGTTTCACTATTGATTAATCAGTGATAAAAATAAAATATAAGAAAATAAAAATAGCTTTAAAATTTTTATTATTCTTGCATTTATTTACTTTAAAATATTCTTAAAAATATATATCCTGGACATCAATACATTAAGGAGAGGTGGTCAATTCCGACGCCGAAATTCTGATTTGGCATTTCTCCCAAAATATATAAATTTTAAGCTTTCGTAAGAAATTACATATATTTAAGCAAAAAATCACATGTTTGCAAAATGACATTGGATTAATTTTTCATCATTAACAGAAATTCACACTTCGGTGAAAATCTGGACACATGAACTTGGTTAAGTTTGAAGGCAAGACTGATTTCGTCTTACTATTGCTTCTCCCTATTTTACTTCACAACGAGCTCCTGGGAATTGATTTTCCTAGGGAGAATGTAGAATTTTCTACGTAATACATTTAAGGGATGCATTCCGGACAGACAGACAGACGGAGAAAGGACTAATCTTACACTCTTAGCAAAGTGGTGAAGTCATATATACACTCCGTGATGATCTTGATTTGGTGTTAATTTCTCCCCGGGTTGGTAATAGTTTGATTCCAAGTGGTGAGTTTTCATCACCCCAACGGTGTATATTTTTCACTATGCGGTGTTGCCCTTTATCACCGCTCCGGTTAAGTCATATATGCACTCCGTTTGGTAATGATTCAATTAAATTCAATACCATTTTGCTAAGAGTGTACGTGTGTAGAACAGCAATGTTAATGTACATACTTATGTGCATGGTCAAACACATCTTTTATAATGTTTTACCCACTTTTAAATTAATAAATGCAAAATTTATTAGCATGCTTCCAATTTTTTTGACATACGTTCATACGTATGAAGCTAATTTTTACCTCAAACAACATCCTGTGCCAAATTACCATACATAAATTTGTTACCTTATATAGAATACTATACGCTATATTGCACTCAACTAATGTTGAATTTGTTAACAATCCTTTAGAACAAATTGATTGTGTAATGATAATCACAATCCTTTGGGGATCGCTGGAATCGTTTTGTTTCTTCGTTCTCATCACTCTCTTCGAAATCCGGGTATCCACCCATTTCTGTGTCACCTGCGGGTTCTGGAATGTCACTAGTTGATAAAATATGGCCGCTTGGGTCCACCAAAAATATGACTATGGTCCGCTTTCGTCCTTGTTTCCCGACCTCATCGACAGAAAATGGGTCGGCCCTGTGTTCATAAATATTCGGCAGAACGACGACTCTGTTTGAGGCGGTGGTTATCGGGCTAAAATCGATATACTCTCCTCCATCCCTTCGTTTTACCCGGGACGATAAAGTCGCGTTGGAAATATTGTCCAAATCCAAATAGTAAATTATTGTTGCGACTATCTTCTCATTTTTCCTGCCTTCTCTGTGCCAATTACTTGCCGCGATTTTCTTGACTTGCGTACTTGGAAGAGTTAAAGATTTTAGGGAAAATATTGCCTGCAACTTTTTCCGTAGTTTGACCTCATCTTTGGACAATAGGGATGCAAACATTTCCTCGACTAGGGGGACACTTTTGGAGAAAAGTTTTTCCAAGTGGTGGTACATGGTCTGCGCATAAAGCAAGTTTTTAGATTTACAGGGTGGTTCAAATGTCACGCTACAATGTACAATTTTTCAATGGGATAAACCCCTAAAAATCCATTAGTAACAAAATTTTGGATTGAAATTTGTTCAATTATTATCTGATGGAACATTTATAACGAAATTCTTAAATGTTGAATTATGTCTATAGCCAAATTTTCGGTAACTATTGAAATTTATGAATTTTTCCATAGAAAAAATTTTCCATTGTAGCGTGACATTTTAACCACTCTATAAATAAGTAAGTCTTTCAGAAATATGTGTGACAACAAGAGTACTAATTATCCCTCAAGATTAAAGAAATTCAGGGCAAAAAATCCACAATTCTCCTAAATAAAATCTGGAAATGCTTACTGTAGAGTATAATTTATTACTTGGAATTAATTACAACCAGTTTTGGGGAACGATTATCTATAGTACCCTTGATATCATATAAATATGTATCTGTATTTAAATGCCTTAAAAATAATTACCTCGTATTTCGAATTGAGACCGCTTAAATACCCGTCAAATTTCCAGGAGGAGCCATCTCCCCGGAAAGAAATGTCGGTCGGGATCATCATTTGTTTCGTGGAGGCATCCCGATCTTCTGAAGAGTACATTGATGTCAAGGGAATGGGATTAGATCCGTTATTTAGCCGGGTTATCCCTTCCCGATACAAGTACCGCGGGCTGGACGGATTTATCAGGACGAGGTGGTGGTGATTTTTTTCGTGGTCATTTGCATATTTTTTGAATTCTGCTTCCAATTTCTTCACCGAGTGTTTGAGCGAGTAGAGGAGATTGAAGGGAAGAAATGAGTCTCGAACGATGGTAGAAGACTGACTGAGGGATGGGATTAATGGGTAAAAATCCGTGTAGGGTAAAGGGTACTGAACTTTTTCTGTGTCTGAAAAAAATAATTTACAATATAAAATGCTACACTATAAACATATGTCCCGGTTCACATTCATTTAATTATACCGAAATGAATGAATAAATGAATAACTCAACAGTTCAAAATGATTGAGTTTGTTTTTTATTCAATCATTTTTTGCCCTATGTTAAATACAATGAATGAAGAATGAGTGAAGAATTAAAATTAATTTTCGAAGTGAATAAATTTTGAATGAAGGAAAAAAAATTGTGCAGGTATGACTATAAATAGTATTAAAGATTTTAAATTTTAATAAGTATACGTAACTTTCCCTATTAAATCCTAATCAGCATGAAATTTTGAAATTAAAGATTTTGAAATTTTCTTACCCGCACAACTTCGAACTCGTAGGGTTAGAAAATAAATAATTAGTAACGTCAGAAAATAATAGTGCTTCATTTCTTCGACTTATTTTTGGAACCAAATGCGCTAGACTTAAGTGGAATATGAAACTTGTTTCATATTTCGATTGCTTTTATATCAGCAATTTAAAAAGTTATGATGGGATGTGTAATTAAATATAAATTTTGTTTATCAAAGTCGAAAATAATGAAGTAATAAGGAGATGTACATATGTGTGTACGTGACATAACATTGTTAAGTAGCGCAAGCTACTTAATGCGATGACTTAGTTAGTCTGTCCATCTGTCTGTCTGTCCGTCTGTCTGTCAACACGATAACAGGAGAACGGATAGAGATAATCGAAATCGGTTTGCGGTATCATGCATATGACCCTAGGGGGAGGATCCTGCAAACTTTTTAGGTCAACCGGACCACACCCCCCGGAGCGGCAGGGGGTGTGGTCGGGGCAAAATGAGATTTTTAGAAAAATTTCATCTATGGATGAAACAGAGTTAAATTAAGTGTCCCCGAGTTGTGTCACACCCCCTCGAGCCCAGTGGGTGTGGTTGGGGAGCAGTGGGTGTGGTTGGGGCAAAATGAAATTTTTAGAAGAATTTAATCTATGGATGCAGGGCAGTTAAATTAAGTGTCCCCGAGTTGTGCCACACCCCCTCGCGCCCAGTGGGTGTGGTTGGGGAGCAGTGGGTGTGGTTGGGGAAAAATGAGATTTTTAGAAAAATTTAATCTATGGATGCAGGGCAGTTAAATTAAGTGTCCCCGAGTTGTGCCACACCCCCTCGCGCCCAGTGGGTGTGGTTGGGGAGCAGTGGGTGTGGTTGGGGAGCAGTGGGTGTGGTTGGGGCAAAATGAGATTTTTAGAAAAATTTAATCTATGGATGCAGGGCAGTTAAATTAAGTGTCCCCGAGTTGTGCCACACCCCCTCGCGCCCAGTGGGTGTGGTTGGGGAGCAGTGGGTGTGGTTGGGGCAAAATGAGATTTTTAGAAGAATTTAATCTATGGATGCAGGGCAGTTAAATTAAGTGTCCCCGAGTTGTGCCACACCCCCTCGCGCCCAGTGGGTGTGGTTGGGGAGCAGTGGGTGTGGTTGGGGCAAAATGAGATTTTTAGAAAAATTTAATCTATGGATGCAGGGCAGTTAAATTAAGTGTTCCCAAGTTGGGGCAAAATGAGATTTATTTTTTTTCAAAATTAAATCTATGGATTAAATAGAGTTGAATTAAGTATTACCGAGTTGTGCCACACCATCTGGCACTCGGAGGGTGTGGTTGGGGCAAAATGAGATTAATACAAATATTGAGTCTAACATGTAGGACATATCAACCAGTAAGATTGATTAATTAGAATTTAATTAGGAAACAATAAAACAGGTAAAATGCATGATTTTTCAGTGTGGCAAGATAGAATGAGGAGATCGCAATTATTTTGTTATTTTTAAATAATTCAGATTCGGCAATCTTTGCGTTATTTTGTATCGCATTCTCAGCATTCTTGCGCTACTTGGGTACCCTGCGTTGCCGCAGTTTATTTTCTATATGGTCAAATTATTTGAGTTTAGCGTTTTTATTCAATGGGGTAAACATATGTATAAATTGTTCGAAGAGAATACGTTATTTTAAATTATTATCGTGGATACACATTATGCATATATTTACATCTCATTAAGAAAATTATTTGCGTCAAATAACTATAGTAATTAACAAAACTTCTCCATATTTCAATGCACGACACAGAATTTGTGATATGCATGTATGTATATATATACAACCTTATCTATATTATAAGCTGGAAATATCTGTCGGCAACGGAAGTGAAAGCAAATGTTCCGCAAACGGAAGCAAAAGAGGAGAAAGTGGTTTGCATATCAAATACGTAGGAAAGTTGATAAGTCTGTTGCTAAGGATATGCGGGTTAGGTTATCAGGAAGGAGGGAGTGAACCCAAATTTTTAAGTGTGATTATCCAGCGGGAACGAGGTATGTCCCCTGGTATATGGTCATCGCTCTGCTGGGGAGAGGGGGAGGGAGGGTGTGCTCAAGGTTACTCAATTTTGGTTAATTTTTACGAAAATCGAATAAGCTCTCGCCCGGCTGGAGACGGGCTTATACGCTAGTGACTAATAATATTCATTTAATCAGAAATAACTAATTTAAATAATAATACTGTGCAGTAAATTTGTAAAGTGTCATCTATGGCGTGGGTCCATCCTCTTATCATGCAAACATTGGCATTGGCAGATCGTGCTATTTGCAAAATTCATGCTAATAAAATTTACGGGCGATTGACACCAGTTCGGTCCCAATCTGACGAGGAAACCTTTTTGGTGCCCTGAGCCCCCAGCATAACCAACATATACATTCGACGCAGTTTTTAATACTAGTCCGATGATGTGACAAAATTTCCGCGTTAAAATGACATTTGGTCACGTTGTGACGACTTTAGTGACGCGCGGAACGATCAATTTCCCCATGCATTTAATAGCGGAGGTCCACTCACACGCTCCTCTCTCATCTCGCTGGAGAAATCTCAACCCATTACATGAACTTAACGCATGACAAAAATGATGCGTGACAAAAAATAAATAATTAAGAAATAACCCTTATTTTACCCGCTGGATAAATATTAATCTAACCTTGTTCAATTTAAAAGACAACCAACCAATCTCAAAACATCGCCGTTACCCGATCTGGTACCGCAACCGGAATGGCTTAATGTTCACCATTGTTGCGCTAACATTTCTCTCCTTCATAATCACCGTACCCATTGTTCTTGTCCTACCGGTTCTGGATTCGCTCAACTTTGTCTTGTCCCAGCCTTCCCAAACACCCCCCATGATCTTCACTATATCAGATTTACTCTTCAGAATAATGATTTGGACCTCCACACTTGCCGAAATGTCCACAACTGTTGGGCTCGCACAGATGACGTATATTATGTTCTCCTTGTTATCACATCTCAAGTCTTACCAACCAAACTGGCGCATTGTGGCAAGAACCATGCCAAACAATAATAAGTGCAAAGAAGAACTAAGATTTCGTGGCTTATCCAATTTAGAACTGTACACCGTCCTAATGGTCCAATTTCGCCTGGTTCGTCAACAAATACTTTGATCGTGCAATCGTGACTACGATGGGGACTGGTTTTTTTCTCGCCGTCATGTCAAACTACGTAGTAATCATGCTCTTCGCTAAGTTACCCTTGCTTTTATACATAGCAACAGCTACGTTAGCCATGATAACTATTAGTAATTATTACGCTCGAGCTTCCAAGCGTAGGGAAAAGTAGTCGCTCTTCCATCAGTTTAGTCAAATATTGGCGAGGAAGTTCTGCATGGCCGTCGGCATGGAGAAGGAGAAAAGTCCGATCGCTACGTCCGACGGAATTGTGGATAGGACCTTGTTTCCCATACAGAGGGAAACATACTCAGTTCATATTAATGGAGTTTTGAATTACACTGTAAGCGCGATTATGCTTTTAGGTTTTTAAGTTTCCCGCCGGTATATGTACCTGCCTGCTTGTAAAGATTCAGGAAGTGCTCCTACGTAGTTGTGAGTATCAAGTTACGCCCAAATTACTGTACCTATGTAATTATTTAAGGAAAATCAAACACTTATATTAATTACTACTTAATATAAGTGTACTAAGGTTATTTACATTAAATAAATGAAAAAAACCGTTGCAAACGAAATGTAGCAATCGCGTGTAGCGACATGGTTATGGCACATCAAAATTATGCTAATTGCTGAAATCCCTGTCCAAAAATACGTCTAAAACGGTGTAAATAAAAAAAATCGACAATTTTCGACGTTGACGTCGTCTATACCTATATACATACATATTATTATCTTATATCTATATACATATATATCTATACTTAACTTAACTATGTCGTGTACTATGTATTAGTAAAATAAACAAGTCAAAGTTACCGGAATAATCTTCATTATGCAAGATTTAAATTACATGAAATGCAAACAGTTTGAGCAAGTAATTATCAAAAATTTTGTTTGATAAATGTTTATAGTTTTTCCGTAATCTCTCCATGCCTAAAATAATAATGCGAAAGCCGGTGATACAAGACATTTAGGTACTTAAGTTGAAATTAGTAGGTAATATAAAAAACAATTTGAATTACTTTTAATTATTTTTTCCGGGTTTTCTTGGATCGCGAAGTGGAAGGTTGAGTAAGGATGGCAGATTCTTCCGCGTTATCATCTTCGCGTTCGTGTCTATTAAAGTTTTAAATTACAAATGGATACATATAAAATAGCAATAACAAATATAACAGGGACACCGTTACCTGACACCTCGCGTGCCGACGACTTCCTCATTAACTTCAGGCGGCATGTATCTCTCGTAAGTCGACTTCGCCAACTTGGCTACTTTGTCATCACAAAGATCCTCTTGTCGCGCAATCAAGTAGGTAGGCATGCGCGACCCAGGGCCAGCGTGATGATTGTTCCAATGGGAGCGAGCTTTCTCTCGTGTTTCGGCATGATGCGGCTGCCCGTCAGTGATGCTGTCGCAGTTTGCGATTAGGCAAACGAATCCAACGCTTCCAACCAGGTGGACGCGGTCAACGTGTCGATAATACGACGACTTCGAGAATGTAACCGGGTTTCCGCTGACTTCGCACAAATAACACGTGAATTTTGCTGACACAGCCGACTTGGCCCTGTTGCACTTATTGTACGCTTGCAGATTCGGGAACGAGAATTCAGGGTTTGTGCAGCACTTTGTGAGAAACTCTGTTAAGTTACATTTTCAAATTTAAAACAAAGTTAACATTATCCCAATGTAAGCATATACAATTCAATAAGACCCGTACCTTCGTTCTTTGGTTTGACCACTTCAAAGAATTCCTTCACATGGATGAGACCTCCTGCAAGGGCCTTCGTTGCCCACACGGTTGCTGCCTTATGACATCTGCCTGAGAGTAGCGTCATAGTTTGAATAACTTCTATTTTATTTCTGGAAAAGAGTAAACATGAGTAAACGTGAAAAAAATGCCGAGTAAAAAACAAACCTCTCAGCATCGGCATCATGTTCCTCGTCCCCATCTGAGTCCGACTCTACTTCTGAGTGGTAAATCTCGAGGTGAACCTCGTCAATAAAATCTCGAACATCACTGTCCTCATCGCCGGAGGGGGACTCTGGTTCAACCTCGTCCACAGGGAGGGGGGCGTCATACAATATAAATTTGTCAACAATTTTAACACCATGCACATAAATAAATATACCGGGTTATCTGTAATGAACCGTTGGCACTCCTCCAAAGAATCGAACACCCGATTGGGTGGGTACAAATGATCCCGATTCTTGTTGACCGCGGCTACGCCACCCCAATGGATGCGATACCGTAACTCCGGTTCTTCAACGACCGATCGAACGAAGGCGACGAAAGGTATAGTTACTATATCACGTGTCGCAGGACCACCCCACCCACGAGTATCCGTCCAAGGTACGTAGACTACCTGGGCCGACACCGTGAGCCGAATCCCTCTTGCAAGATCTGCCTCCGCCATCCTGCATAATATTTGTATTTAAGTTTACGCAGTTACTTTTAAATCTTCGCATTGAAGGTTATCACGAATCTAAAACTTACTTTGTAGTGTCGAAAAATTAAAACTGACGAAAAATGTCCGAACGAGCTGTTTTGAATTTTTTCAAATTTGCTGTTTTAAATTCGACTTAAAATTCAATGTTAGACTGTTGCCTGCTTGCACACCACTAGTTGAAACCACCGGGTAGCTGGATCAAATGGGGTCAATTGGGCTTTTAAAGAATGAGATTCCTTATCCAACATATTCACAGCAAAACTAAGGTCAAATTTGAAATCAGGGGTATTTTTAATAGAAATTGACTGTCTGTACATATCTCCCAAACATTTTCTTAAAATTTTCAATCGTGTAGCAGAGAAGCTACTCATCCATGCAAGCCATTCTATACTTCTAGAGTGATAATTTGAAGAAACTGTTTGGGAGATATGTACAGACAGTCAATTTCTATTAAAATAATACCCCTGATTCCGAGCTTGGCCTTGGTTTGACTGTGAATACGCTGGATTAGAAGTTATCTCATTTTTTAAGAGCCCGATCGAACTGGTGGGAATCCGTCCAAAGTTTCTCACCTGCTCAATTGGACTTTTAAAAAATGAAATAACTCCTTATCCACAATACTCACAGCAAAACTAGGTCAAATTCGGATTTAGGGATACAAGTTGAATTGGAATTGACTATCTGAAAATTGCCAGATAAGTATAGGATGGCTTGCTAATGAGAAACACGATTTTGCCTCATGGTGATCTAGACATTATGTCATATGTGAGGACCAACTATGTGTTATGTGTGAACTAACGCGAACTAACTCTGGTTTAGTTTGGGCAGCTGCAGTGGAAAGAATTTGCACCCGCGGAATATTTCCAGTCAGCGGGTTTCCCAGGGTAGGAGAGAAATCGGAACCTTGTGGGAAACCTTGGATGGATTCCCACCTGCTCAATTGGATTTTTAAAATGAGATAACTCCTTATCCAACGTATTCAAAGCAAAACCAAGGTCAAATTCGGAATTAGGGATATAATTATAGTATACATTGACGGTATGTACATACCTCTCAAACATTTTCTGTAAATTTCCAATCATGTAGCAGAGAAACTTCTTATGCATACAAGCCATCCAATACTTAACTATATACATATTTATCTTATCTATATGTTATATAATATAATATATTATATCGTCGTCTACACTTATATACATATCTTATCTTTGACCTGAAATAGCATCATGGTTAAAACCGGCACGCATCTACATGCTATCGCCTTGCAGAGCAGGGTTTCGCTTATCGTCGTACTAATTCTATAAAGACCGAAGTGCAGTCGATAGCTAATTTTAAAAAGACCGAAGTGCAGTCGATGCTTAATTTTAAAAAGACCGAACTAAAGAAAAAAAATTCTAAAAAGACCTAAGTGCAAGCATGTATTTACTTATGGCTAAATCACGCGATATGTGAAGAATCGTTTTGGCAAGATATAGCCATAAGTAAATACATGCTTGCACTTAGGTCTTTTTAGAATTTTTTTTCTGTAGTTCGGTCTTTTTAAAATTAATCATCGACTGCACTTCGGTCTTTTTAAAATTAACTATCGACGGCACTTCGGTCTTTATAGAATTAGTACGACGTTATGTATTTACATATACAGCTGCAAGAAGAAGTTTTACTTCTCTTGGTAGTAGGTGGGCACTTTTACTGTTATTAAGCTCCTCAAACATTTTTAATGTTTGAGGTTTTAATGTTTGAGGCAACAAGTTTTAATTTTTCCAGTAGGTCGATGGAATGAAAAAAATGGGTACACTCCAAAACAGGTCAGTTGCGATTTTATGTACACATGTAACCAGATAAATGCTAGCGTAAATTAAAAAATCGGAAAACAAGTTCCCTCAGAATGAGTCAGTTTACTAAAAATTCCCTTACAACATTTTGTAAGATAATAAAAGTTCAAGTTTTTGATTTAAGTATAATCAAGCATGTTCCAATTTAGATGATCTATGAACGCTTCACTAGAACTCCGGACGGTATTTTGGCCGGCTTCTTATCGTCACAAAAGACAGCCATGGTATAATTTTTCTTGGAAAAGGATTCTGCATGATGAAACGCCTTGTCGCAGGCTTCCACCAGCTTGGCCGGTCCGGCGCAGCTGTAAATCCCAGGCGCGCATGACTCTGCGATGTCCTTGTCGCAGATTAATGATGACGTCGTAGTAATGGCTTAGATAGGATGTAAGCTCACGAAAATAGGCTAGTGTGCTATGCTATGTAACATTCTGTGCATTCCCTAGTACTAGTAAATGAGGATAATAAAGGCTATTATCATTATTAAGTATCGCAGATGCTTTATGAGGATGCTCTGGATGTCTGTCCGTCCGTCCGTCTGTCTGTCCGTCTCCACGATAACTTTCGACAGGTCACAAATTTTTTAATTCCGTTTTCGCCATAACTCATCTAATTTTCTAGCAGAGGATAAGTTCGAAGATGGGGTCACCACGACCACACCCACTACCACCAGTGGGTGTGGTCAATCTTATTTTTGGGAATTAATTTTTTCTTTCGACATATATTGTAGATGACGTTAATCTACAATGAAAACCACAATCAGAATTGACAACCACACCCACCATAGGTCAGGGGGAGTGGTCAAACAGAAATAACAAAAATTGACATTGCGTCGAAACGAGACAACATTTTTAAATTCGGTTTGCGCCATAGGGTGCCATAAATCAATTCACATATTTTGACCACACCCACCGGTGGTGAGGGGGTGTGGTCGGGGGTAAAATGAGATTTTTACCAAAAAATGTTCCAATGACAGTGGACAACATTTTTATCATGGTCAAATTTTCCCGCCGTGAAAAAATGTGATTGGGGCAATTTGAGATTCGATTATATATTGAACAACAATGGCAAAAACAGCAAAAGGATGACTGACGATCGACAAATGACGACAACGATAGGCACAACCATAAGTAGAGCAACAAGAATACCACCTGCGTTACTTGATTATATCTATGATTACCACAGTTTATTATTATTATTAAGCATCATTTAATTTAGAAAAGGGTTATAAATCTTTAACGCTACTCGTCAGTCAGTTATTAGACTGCTTAATACGTAGCGACACATATTAACATACATATTTCCATACCTATTTTAGTTTGTTAAATTATTGTTATCTTTCCCCCCATTTATTTAAGGGGCAATTCAGTATGAGTTCGCATCATTGACAACATTCAAAAAGAAAAAAAATTCGCAAAAAATTCACTTACGAACGTGCCCTTGTTAACGCACGGCTAGTAGTTCGTATTTTTTGTTGACACGATGTCTTAATGAATTACTTTAATCCGTATTTTGCAAAAATATTTCCCAGCTTATTTAATACATAGTTACCGATATAACATGGTTCACGGGACACGAAAATATTCACGATACACAAATTAAATACATTAGTTTTCGCAAATTAGTTTCAGTCTTCTCTCGGAATACTTGCGGAAATTGTCTGCATTTCCTTATCATTTTCACCGTCGACATGTTCCTCCTTATCGCCCCGCACTTTGACGCCTCGGTGCAAACTATTTCTCCCCAGGGTGCTCCAAGGTTTCGTTTTACCGGCTAATTTTCTGGGCAGGTCGTAGCACCCAAATGCGACACCGAAGAGGACGGCGTACACGCCGTAGACGACGTACTGGTCGCGAATCTGGAGGTGGAACCCGTGCCGCGAGGTGACCGCCATGGTGAGCAGGAGATGGATGAGGGTCGCCGCCAGAGTGTTCATGCCGAAGATGAAGGCTTCACTTTTTTCCCGGATGGATTCCGCGACTTGAGATCTGCACGGAAAAAAATACGGTAGAAATTACAAAATAATTTGAATTTGTCCCTTGTTCGGTATGAATTTTGTTACCGGAAGAGTGATAATGGTATTGTATAAAAATGTGATTTGAGCTTATTACAACTTTTAGATAATGTTGTGTGAGGTCGGCAGACTATTCAAATTAGTTTGTCACCCATAGATAACGTACAAATTTTGCATGAGAATTTACATATTTGCCAACGTTAAGAAATGTTTGCAATTTTGCAAATACTTATTGTGAGCTTGACGAACCGAGGTAAATAATTGTGTGCATGAAAGTGTGAACATTTGTGGTGACAAACCATTTGTTGACATTCTCAAATGCAAAAATTTGGCAGAAATTATGAACTATGGACATATTAAAAATACTCACTTTGCAATAATGACCAAAACCTGGAAGAAGGCTTGAAACAGGATAAACATTCCGTATGCGACGTACAAGTCGTGCGTTTTCGCCATAACGAACAACGCGACGCCTTGAAGGACGGTGGACACGCCGAAGACGAGAGAACCCCACTTGATCCAACAGTTCTTCGTCCTTCCGATAATTAGACCGAGAACGACACCTGGGGAGGAAAAAAGAGTTATATTTATAACTCACGCGAAAAATTATCTAGCAGAAGCAAAGCCACGCAATGAAATGAATATTCCCAAGAAACTTCAAATGATTTTCTACTAGTTATATTTGAAATAAGTGGATTAACCCGGGTGAAAAATTTAATGGATTTTTTGCATAAATTTTGCTGGTCTTTATGCAGAGAATTGGCTGGATTTTATGCAGAAAAATTTATGCCGAAACAATTTGTGCACAAAATGTGCAGAATTATGCATAATTGTGCAAAACCTTTCTGCAGAATATTCCTGTCAAAAGTTTTATGCAGAATCGTTCAGCCTTTTTCTGCACAAACCATTGGTCCAGACAATTGTGTCGAATTATATCAAATTCGACATACGATTTTCATCCGGGAACAAACTGGTAATCACGTTCCAAAAAGCAATTTCGAAAAACGTGATTATGCCCGCATTTTAACAGCTCATAGAAAAATCATGCTTTATCCGAGACAGAGTTATTTACGAACTTGATTTTTTGATATGACACTAAATACATAGGAGTTAGTTTTATTTACAAATTTCAAAAATAATTACAACAAGTCGAGGCGGCATAAACAAAATTCCGAGTGGTTAGCAAAATTTGGCATTAATTTCAAACTTCCGAACTGGCAACATGACATATGTATCAGGAATCCATTGTAACGTAATAGGAACTTCGTATGCATACTCTAATTTGGATTTCGCTCAAATTTTGTTGTGATATGTGTTGTAACTGCGGTATAAAAATTGTAGGCTATATAAATGCAAACGTCGAAGAGTTACATACATGTGAATTTACATAATTCCGAATTATTAGCAACATTTTCAGTTGGTTTAAACAATTCGGACAAAGTAACGGATTCTATCTAATTATTTCGCTCTATCAATAACTTTATGGGCTAACTGAAAATGCGAACCAAACTTACAAAATTCGATCGTGGAATGCTAATATGGAAAATGCAATTATTTTGGAAAGTTCAACATATTGGATAATTTGGGTCCAAAATCAAGGCAGCGGCCAAATTCTGATCCAAAATAATTTTTAAAATTATCTCCAGCCATACTGAAGCAAAGGTTTAGTCTTGAAACTTGAATTTCTGAAAATTTGTAAAAAATTCGCACATTTTGCCTCGTATCGCAAAAACCACCCATGCGCCACCCCAATATTATTTCAGATTCTTTATGTACACAAAATTACGGAAATTTTAAGCCATCAAACTCGAAAATCGCTCCATTGCGAAAAAAACACTATTTCATTGTATATATCTTCATAAAATCATGGAAACTTCTTTACAAATATGCATTTCAATTTATGTATGGCCTTGCATCTGCCAGATAAGTTTGGGTGTGAGTGTACTTCCAGTATTTTACGCAAACGTTAACAACGTCGCGTATATATTTTGCGTTAAAAAATAGAGACCAAAGTGTAAATAGTGACCAAAGCGCAAATTTTTCTAAAATTTACTTTTGACGACTCACTGTTATCTACGGATAAAAATTCAACGCATCAAATAAATATGTACAATCTACGAGCAATGGGAGAAAACTGATTCTACAAGATAACCTCTCAGACTCTTTGTCTGTATTTTTTTTAAATTTTTAAACTGCTAGCTTGAAGTTGCTAATTGCTGACATATTTATTCTTACAGAACTTACCATAGATACTCTATTAATAATTAGATAACGCGAGTTCTATACTTTGTTCTCAAAGCAACATGTCGGATTTTCCCGTAACTGGAGCTGAATTCAGTATGCGATTTGAGTGAACTCCGTTAAGACAAGGTCCGTTTTCTGTGGTGTACGAAGCCGGTGCACTGAATTCGCCTCCAGTTATGGGAAATGGAGCAGATCGTGGGGAGCATCCATCCCATTACGTTATATAATTCAAATGCATTGTTGTGGATTATATTTCATAAATTTTTGAATTTCACACTTAATTTCAAAAATTTCAAAATGCACCGTAATTGGTGGATGCGAGGTTAATTGAAGCGACAGGAGAGAGCTCGTCAGCTGTCTTATTTATTTTATTTCACACAAATACATGGTGTCGCAACCCTTTGGAACTTACTGATGATTGCGTGGGACGCGTGGACCGCGCCGTTGTATACATTTTGATGGCTGTGGTGCTCAATCTCTTTCCAGAGTCCCTCCACGTAGAGATCGACCTGGATGTAGAGCCCGTACGCCGTCGCCCACCAAACGGACCACTTGACAATGTCGCGGTTCGTGTAGGCGTAGAGGAAATTGTTCTTCCAGTGGGTGGGGGCTTCCCGCCACCGTTGAATATTTGAGGGTTGCTTTGCTAGCCCCACGTTCCTCGTGTAATCGAGGCCCCTCGGAATGGGCAGGGAAGATGGAGCTGGAAGTGATATATAATATGTAGATGATTAATTCACTAATTGCGTAACAATGCAGTTTTGCAAAATTATGCTGTGGTTAACCTCCCTGGTACATACCATTATTTTTTTTAATCAAAATTTTCTTAGTAATAATTTAATAATTATTATATAAATTTTCTTACTAATAACAACAAATTTCAAATTTTTGAGCTCTCTAATGAAAAACGTGAAAATCCAGTTTGTAACGTTAGTCGGTATTGGGAGAAATTTTAAAAATTTGTGAAGAAAAATATCAAAAATGTCCCCTTATCAGGATCGAGTTTTCCGCAAAATGCCAAATAAATATAGTCTTTTCCAGATTTTTGAGCTCTTAACTCGAAAAAATTCAGTTTTTAACATGGGGCTATATGCATAGGGGTAATTCCAAAATTTTGTAAGAAAAATATCGAAAATGTCCCCTTTTAAGTATCCAGCTTACCCCAAAAATACTAAACTAGTGTTGTTTTTTTGTAAGAAATTTTGATGTCAAAATAATTTACAAGAATTTGCGTATTTCGAACGGAAATAAAATACTACGCTGACATATGTAAATACTTTGTCGTTAAGAGGTTAATGGATAAATTCAATTTCTGGAAATCCTCACCTTCCTCACCCTTCCCGGCCTCTTTTTCACTTTCAGTCATGGGTTGTTGTTCCGGCTCCTCTTGCTTGAGCGCCTTTTCTTCCTCCACGTCCCTTAGGACACGTGGGAGCATGATCGAAAACAAGACGGCACCCACCCCACCCCCTAAACTGAGATAGTTGAGCTCCTCAAAGTCCATGAGGTTGAAGGAGATGAGGACTTGACCCGTCACACCGGAAATGAACTCGCCAAAATGCACGGCCGAATGCGTGTAGGACGTCACCCGTTTGTAATCACTTTTCTCAATGTTGGCATACATGTAGGTGAAATAAGCCACTTCGGTAGAAGTGGTGGAAATGGCGTAGTAAATTTGGCGCAGCTGGAAATAATGAAAGGTCAACAAATTTAATTTTTATATACGTTAACTAGAAAATTTTGGGGATTAGTATATACTGCACCAATTTTAGTATCTTTGCTCCGTGTCAATTTGTTAACGAGTTATTTTTGCACTTGCCCAAAACGGTAGAGCAAAAATCTTTACACAAAGTTATATCTGTAATATTTAGATTTCACCTCGATTTTATTATCACAATGAATAACAAATTTGTTTTGACGATAAGTGGAATCTAAACGAGGTACAATAAACCGTTGTAACGTTAGGAGTATCTCACCCTGTTACAATAATTTGAATAAACTGGTAAAATACGTGCATAATTGTTATCCAAGTATGTATGCTACGCAGGGTGAGCTACGTACATAATACTGGTAAACACACTCTCATAAAAATGCTGCCAGTTTGAAATTTATGCGCATATGTACATAGGTGCACTCTTAATTGCATGTTGAGTAAAGCAAGGGATGCAATTAACGACCACTCCCACCGCCAAGATTAAGGCTTTTGCCCCCAACATTGCGAAATTTAGCTCGCATTGATACATATTTTCCCCAAGAGATTTCTCCTTTTAACCCTAAATAAATATCAGATTAATCTCCTTAATGAAATGGCTCGCGACATAATCAAAATTATGTTTAACTCCGAAAAATTGATGTAGCTCTGTCATACATAATCAAAATTTCAATATTAATATATCTAAACTATGGTAAAGTACATATGTAGATATGTAGCTGTAACTCGATATGACACAAATCTTACTCTGGAATGCATATATATAATTTGTTTTGTCTATTTGATTTGTGGAAAGCTCAATTCAAGATTATATTGCACACTCATATCATTTTGGATTAGATTTGTGGATGACCCCTTTTCTACCATGAAATCTTGAAAATGTACAAAAATTCAGAGTCCATTTAAAGAAAGGGAAACATTATTTTTAAGAGTGAATGTCTTAGCTTTGAAAAAAAAATTATTTTTACCCGTGCCCAATCAACGTTATGGAACCCCAGATTGTGATAACCCACGTGATACAATTGTACACCCCCGCATTGACAATGATGGGTTTGTAGGAGAAGGCGTCCGTCACCATGGTGAGGAAGATAAGCGATATTATCGAAGTCCCCGTCGTGGCTGGAAACACCTCATGTGTCATCTAAAGCAAAGGAAAAATTTGTATACACTGTAAATAATCTGGTAATAAACATTACCGAAAATCACAAGTATATGACTCTGCCAAAGTGGTAATGATAAGTTGTACCGTGTGGTAATGGCTTGGTAATAAAGTTTTACCATCATGGTAACGAATTTTTACCACCTGGTAAAACATTATTACCAAATTTATTACCGAGAAATCATTACCTGCGTGACTTTACCGGATTATTAAGAGTGTACATATCTTACTATATTATAAGCCGTTGTGGACGACGTAACCGCAGTGGCGTAACTACGCATCAGCATTGACCAACTAATCATTAGTGGCGAAGCAAACAGGTCCAACAGTAATTACAAGCATCATATATAGTAGAAAATAATGATGATGAAATATATGTGACACATAATAATAATATACGTGCCGCCCCTGATCGAGCGCTCTCATATTTCCCCATCTATTTCCCATACGCGCCTACGTTAAATATATCAACAAGAACGACAAAACCAACAACACGTTACTATGCGACAAATTTTTTTTTATTAAATTTGTACTACTGAATTGATGCCCACATTATTTTCCGGAACATCAAGAAGATGTACCGGAACAACGCCGAGCGTAGCTGGCTGGTTTATACTAGTGTATTATTAATTACAAATTGAAAGTAGATGGATAATTCAAAATTAAAATCCAGTAATGGACTAATTAATTACATTTAATGAAATTTTGGTGTCATGTGATTCAAGCAGTACACACATTTGTATATTCCGGAAAATAAAATACTACATAAATGCGTGTACATACTTTGTCGTTATGAGGTAAATTAATTACATGAAAATAAAATTGGATGTATATACATATTTACATATACATGCATATAATTTGTACAATTTGTTACCGGTGAGGGAATAAGTAAATATGTATGAAAACATTGTTCAAAAGGTGAAAATTAACTCTAAATGAATTAAATACCTGTTCTCCCGTGAAGTTTTTATGGTCGACGGCATAATCGACCAGGAAAGGGGCCGAAGGACGAATTCTTTTAAAACTCCGACCATGATAAGCAATAAAATGGCAGCTTTCCACTGATATCGGCGCCGTTTCATGGTGAAATTCTGATTTGACATCTTATCCCAAAATTATTTATGAATGTCTTAAGTTTCCTGAAGTTTATTAAATATTAACACACATAAGGGTGACTATCATTCACAAATATGTCGTAAAAACTTTTCGTGAAAGAAATTACACTTTCTATGCAGAAATTCGCACATTTGCAAATGATGTATTAATTTTGCACCATTCTGGTTATAAGCAGAAATTCACATGTCGCGAAAATCTGCACACACTAACTTCTCCCCATTCTTTGTGAAGTTTGAAGTCAAGACTGACTTGATTTTGACACTAGTTCTCATCTCATATTTACCTTCACAGCGAACTCCTCCTGGGAATTGATTTTCTTGCGGATTATGCAAAAAGCACGTGCTACAATTGCATGGGGTGGGGTATAACTATATCGGATTCTTCATAAGTGAAGGATAACACGTGGAAGCTGGACGGGGTACTCTCTTCAAAATAATGTTACCCTTTTGAAAGCAGAAATCCTCCTGAATACTAATTTCAATAAAATCCAGAGAACACCGACTTGATAAAGGGTGAAGTTAACGTCGTTGAATTTAGTATAGTTAATGTAGAACTTGGGGACCGGTCATTAATTACGTAACGCAAAAATCGCGATTTTCCATGTGATTTTCCGTGTGACGGACACGATAACGATATCATTGGAGCTTTCAGACCCCGCTCTCGCGTTGCATATTTTATGAACGGCCTCTTAAAATGCTATGAATGCTTTTGAAAGGGGTACCATAATTTTTAAGAGTCTATGGAACAAGTTGAGACACAAACTTTACGTACGGCCCCCTTGTCTGTGCAAACAGAGAGTTTCCACAGTAATAAATACGGGGGAGAGAAAAAGTCAGCCAACGTTTTCCTTTTTGCTGCTCTTCAACTTTTAATTGAGCAAAAAAAAGTTGCACTGAAAATGTTCGATGTCTAGTCCCTTTGAATATTTCTCTAGCCATGACCATAAATGTGGATCTGGAAAGAGAGAAAAGCAATGGACTTGTTATTTAGTGGAGGAGAAACCGGTTCTCCATCCAGCACAAACATAAATATAATTTTAGCGTCCCCACGGCTTCCGCGGCCAGTCTGGATTTATCGATCTACACACACAGCTCCGAGTAAACGGCCTTGATACCTGGCATGAATGCGTGGTAGTACATACATAAGCAAGTAATCTTTCCCACCTACGAATGTATGTGCTGCATGCCTGTCACTAAAGTGGAATCAGTACACTCTTAGCAAAACGGTACTGAATTTAATTGAATCATCATCAAACGGAGTGCATATATGACTTAACCAAATTGTGATAATATTTACCCCACATTGTGATAAATCTTTCCCACAATTTGTAAACTTAACACTAGATAGTGAGGATTTATCAAATTGTGGGGAAGATTTATCACAATGTGGGGTAAATATTATCACAATTTGGTTAAGTCATATATGCACTCCGTTTGATGATGATTCAAGTAAACTCAATACCATTTTGCTAAGAGTGTATAAGTAAGTAATATCCACCTCAGAAGGAATGATGCAGGCGAGTCTTAATACAATTCTGGTCGGTAATAAAGTATGCAAACTGTGTAGCCAGCTCATGTCGTGGAGTGAATGTAATGCACAATGGACATGCTATCCCGGCAGGTCTGCACTCACGGTGCATCATGATCATCGTAACGCTAAAAAACCTGTGGTATCAAGATTACAAGGAGAGGATAAGCTTTGCATGAAAAACGACTCTCCTTTTAATAAGAGCATGTAATATCGATATTTCGGTATTTGAATACCAAAAATTCGATATTTCAATACCGAAATGTAGAAATTGAAATGTTAAATAAATAAGTACAAATGTAACCTTTTTGGGGGTGTCAAGAATTCAAATTTTGGGGTGTGACCAAGCCAAAATTAATATTGATGATATATTTATCATGTGAGTTCCTCTCTAGCCTCCTCCTGTGCAACACGTATCTCGCTCTCGCTCTGCATCTGGATACTCTTCCATCTGGGTCGCGGGTGTGCCAGGGCTAGTAAAGTGTGTCCTAAGGCCTTTTCGCCAAGTGAGCCTCGTCCACTCATACCCCCCACCTGCGTGCCTGGTGACACCCCCTGCCACACCCGTCCCAGCAACGACAAGCTGAGCCATCAGGCGAAGACGGATTCGCCGGACCTAGTGCACAGGAGGATCTACGCTTTAGAGGAGCTCCCCCAGGGAAGACCCTCGTTTGATATATTGGGGTGGTAAGCATGTGGGGGTGGTCGGCGGAAGAGTGAGTGGATGCAGTGCTGGTGGGAGTGGCTGGGCTAGGTCTACGGGGTTCCCATGACTGCGTCATGTGCTGCGGGGGGAGGGGTTAGTTTGTGGGGTGTACCATGGCCCCTTTATGGGGTCACTTAGGCCGAACCCTGAGATGGGTCATCGGTTAGTTTGTGGTCCATGGATGCTCCACTCCAGCCAAATTCCCGTCGTGCCTCCACCAGCATGGCACCTACTCATTTGGATGTCACCATTTTTTCCGATATGTAAATCGCCGATCTTTCGTTGGTCGAGCCTGGGTTTTCAGGTAGTCAGGGCCAAATGGTGAACTGGGCAACCTTCCAAGTTCAGGTAGAGGTTTTCCAGACAGACCACCAGTCTGGTTTTCCCTCTACTCCCCTGACCACCACCATCACAATTATTAAAATAAAATAAAATTTGACTAAAATATGTAACTAACTTATGTGATTGTGACTTGCAAGAGCTAATGGCTATTTATGCAATAAATATACATACATACATATATTTATCATGTGACGGTTGATTACTAAATATGTGACGTAATTTTGACCCAGCCCCCTATGGTTCATCTATTAAAACCGCAGCATTTTCCTATTCAATTTTGCTGAAACGAGTTGGCCGATGGGCCCAATGCTTATTAACATTGGAAATTTCATTTTGAACCATTCTTTCAATTCTCCATGGATTTTCAAAATTAAACATGTTTTGGAAACATCTGACCTTTGGCTAAAATAGATTATTTCAAATTTTTAAAATTTGATCTAGTTGACCTGAAATCAAGGTCACAAGGTCAAAAAATGGCAATATTTGCAAAGTCCTTAATAATGCGTCTTCGCAAATTTGATTCTAAATTTGTAAGTCAGACAACTCAGGGGAGTGGTAAAATATTACCCGCAGGTCATTCAAAAACTTGTGGGTGTGGCAGGGGGTGTGGAAAAATTAAATTAGGCTTAAATTGCTAAGTTTTAACAGCTGGAAGCGTTCAAAATATCACTATCCAATCAGGCGCACACCCCTCGACAATGGTTACCTTACCACATTAAAATCTTCAATCACCACCAACAGGGGGTGTGCCCATAAGCGTTTTTGTCGTTAATCATCTTAAGTACATTGTGCGACACAAATAATTTATTGTAGCGGAATGGCGAACCCAATGGTCACCTCATATCACAACAAACACCACCAACTTAAAATTTTGAATCCCCGCCCACAGGGGGTGTGGCTTTAAGCGGTTTTGCTATCTTTAAGAGAAAGCATGTCGTGTGACATATCATTTTGACCAGAAACGTTAGGGCAACTTAAAAATAGTATCGATGTTACCAAAACCACACCCCCCAGTGGGTACGGCTTTCTGCGCTTTTGCCATTTTTCGATAAAGCATGTCGTGTGACATATGGTTTTGACCAGAAACATAAGGGCAACTAAAAAATAGTATCGATATTACCAAAACCACTCCGCCAGGTGGGTGTGGCTTTCGCCGCTTTCAGCAGAATTCTTATAAAGTTTCTTGTGTAATGCGAATGTCGTGCTGTATTATAAGGGGACATCATCACAGTTAAAATCACAGTTATTGATTCACGATTTCCTCACGTAGCCATGTTTTTTGTAAAACCGAGAAGTTGCTGAAAACCACAACCACTGGGAGTGTGGTTTATAAATTATAAATTTGCAATCGGAGTGTGGGCATCGAGCTAAGAAAATTGGTATATCACAACCCATATTTTCACAATCTGTCGACATGGCTCAGTGGGCCAGACCCACAAGGGCAAGGCGTGCTGTCATTTGAACTTCGTTGTGCGTATCTAACTGCCGGTATATTTTTTCGACACAAAATTTTCCGATTTGAAACGACAATGTATCAATTAATACTATTTCACATATTTTTCTAACTGGTGAACACAATTGGAACGTGTTTGGTTGTATTTGAAAATTCTGGGAAAGAATATTTCGTAGAAATGTCAAAAGTTTCCGAACCGGCCAAAATTTTGAAAATCCCTTAAAAATTGATCAATTGAGAGTAGTGTCAATTTCCAATATAGTACGTATTACAATATTGTAAAGGTAACCTATTCACCAAGAAATCCAAGCGAAGGGTAAAATTATTAAATCGTACCGCAACGGTGCATCTACTTAATCGCAACTGATTTTTCAAGGGCTAATTAACACATTTCAGACGAAACTGTATTTTCGGTAGCTTTGAGCTACACCCAGTAGAGTTGTACCGATTGATAAACGGAAGCAAAACTCAATGTCCCCTTATAATACAGCACGACATTCGCATTACACAAGAAACTTTATAAGAACTCTGCTGAAATCGGCGAAAGCCACACCCACCTGGGGGTGTGGTTTTCGTAACATCGATACTATTTTTTGGTTGCCCTTATGTTTCTGGTCAAAACCATATGTCACACGACATGCTTTATCGAAAAATGACAAAAGCGCAGAAAGCCGTACCCACTGGGGGGTGTGGTTTTGGTAACATCGATACTATTTTTAAGTTGCCCTAACGTTTCTGGTCAAAATGATATGTCACACGACATGCTTTCTCTTAAAGATAGCAAAACCGCTTAAAGCCACACCCCCTGTGGGCGGGGATTCAAAATTTTAAGTTGGGGGTGTTTGTTGTGATATGAGGTGACCATTGGGTTCGCCATTCCGCTACAATAAATTATTTGTGTCGCACAATGTACTTAAGATGATTAACGACAAAAACGCTTATGGGCACACCCCCTGTTGGTGGTGATTGAAGATTTTAATGTGGTAAGGTAACCATTGTCGAGGGGTGTGCCCCTGATTGGATAGTGATATTTTGAACGCTTCCAGCTGTTAAAACTTAGTAATTTAAGCCTAATTTAATTTTTCCACACCCCCTGCCACACCCACAAGTTTTTGAATGACCTGCGGGTAATATTTTACCACTCCCCTGAGTTGTCTGACTTACAAATTTAGAATCAAATTTGCGAAGACGCATTATTAAGGACTTTGCAAATATTGCCATTTTTGACCTTGTGACCTTGATTTCAGGTCAACTAGATCAAATTTTAAAAATTTGGAATTATATATTTTAGCCAAAGGTCAGATGTTTCCAAAACATGTTTAATTTTGAAAATCCATGGAGAATTGAAAGAATGGTTCAAAATCAAAGTTCCAATGCTTATAAGCATTGGCTTCATCCGCCACATAACCTCGAACCAAGAAAATGCTGCGGTTTTAATAGATGAACCATAACAACATTAGTTCGAAGATGTAGTAAAGAAATTTATGCATAAAACATTTTCCTCCATTTGAGCATTAAATTTTTATTTATTTTTGGAATGTATCAAGTTTCCTGAACTTAAACTGTTTAAGTTTTTATTATTTCACAAATTCGGCTACCAATTAGTTATGCAGTTCAGCTTGTACCAAAAGTACAAAGAATTGGACGTCAATTAATCACATTTACCAAGTTTGCATACAAATAATTTGCCTCCTTTTGTAGTAATTGTAATAATTTCATTAATACATTTCGCAACATTTCTGCCCAGATCCCCTCCTCCAAACAATGATTTGATTCGTTGACCAATCGCTCCTCCAACGAGTAATTTAGAGCCTTTGCTCTAAATTATGAAACACAGTTAATCCATAAATACGGGTTTATTTTTCCCAACCAAAATATGTAATGATATCTTAAATAATGACCTTTTCAACAGGCTTATTCTTTTACCCAACCAAAATGATACAACACCCCAACCAAGTGATAGGGCACTTTGTTGCTGAAAGCTTTCAAATCAGGCGTAAATACAAGTTTTATTAAAAGATCAATGCGTGCACGAAAAAAATTGGAAACTTCATCATTCCTTTCTTCAAGATCCGACTAATTTGTTGAGCATAATTGATTGGATTAATTATGATTGGGAGAATTATTACTTTTGGTTTGGATAATGTACAATTTCGTTGGACCGTTATATAAATTGGCACCAAGTAAATATTTACATACGTACCAAGAATTGGCTCGTTTTAAAACTTACCTTGACTGTTTTAAAACTTCCGTTGACTGTATTCCTGATAAATTTACTCAAATCCGTAAACGGGGCACCCACGTCTTCCTGTTAAGACAATCGTTAGCTCAATATGTACCTATACGCATTGACGCATTATAATTTTATATTGATTTGAAAATAATTAAGCGTGATGGATTTGAATTTAAAATCAAGCCGAGTTTATGTAGCTTTAAAAATGTACAATTTTACACTTTGCATGTCATACCCGTGGATTACGAATTTTTAGAATAACTGTAATAAATAGCAATATGAATGCAAGTAATTAATTACTTCCTGCCTTTGCCAATCAATCTAGTAACGTGCTCAGCAGGTCGAGCAGAGCCGAGAATTCTCAGTCACGCTTAATTATTTTCCAATCAATAGGATCCTTTACCCGAATAAAATCTTCGATTTCTTTGGATACCTGCTCAACGTCTTTGCAACCCGTTGGGTGTTTAGCATTGCCTTGTGGGCATAGGTTGTTTATCAGGGACCCTTCCAGGTACTGGATATTATTGGATGGATAAGTGGTAAAAAATAAGTAGTGTCAAGCTTGGCGATGAATAATATGAGAACCTTTTTACTCATTGCGAGTAGTTTGTCCCCTCCAGGCCAGAGATTCGAGCAGATCTCCTAAATGAAAGATGATACAATTAATTTACATACGGACACACTCTCAATAAATTTTTGACAAAATTGTTACCGGCGGAGGTACTATGTAACTCTACCGAGAGGTAACACTAATAGTAACAAATTGTCTTCTGAGGGTAAGAAATTCCCTCCGGTATGGGTAATATTTTTATTACCTGAGCTTTGACATTGGGGGCTGGGCAGGATTTAGCCCCTTTATATATGCTACCCATTGGTGATAAATTATTACCCGAGCGGTAGAATTACATAGTACCTCCGCCGGTAACAATATCGTCAAAAATTATTGAGAGTGCAGGATGGTTTAAAAGTCACGGTACAATTGAACATTTTTCAATCGGAGAAGCCCTTAAAACTCCATTAGTTACAGGATTTTGGATTGAGATTTTTAGAAATTAATACCAAAACGTACATATGGAATACTGATGATAAAATTCTTAAAATGATGAATTTCAGAGAAAAAATTTCGATAACTAATGGAAATTTACGAATATTTCCCATTACAAAATTTGCCATTGTAGCGTGACATTTTAACCACTAAAATTGTTGACCATGTATGTTATGCATGTATGTATAGGAAATATATAAGTTTGTCGTTCGTATGTATGTAAATAAGTAACTTGCCTCCGCGTCTCCTCCTGCGGAATATATAAAATTTTCCAGAAACCTGTCCAATTGTGTTATGTTTAAGTTTTTCAAAAGAGGACCATCCCTAACAACAATTCCACACGTAGGGGCCTAAAGAAAAGTAAGTTAGGCAACATTCCAAATCATATATAGAGGTAAGTACTCTCCATTCACATAGAATTGCATTTTTTCTACATGGATTGATAATTTTGAGCAACTACTTGTACACAAAAATTATAATGACCACAGAAATACGAGACTGACAGTGGTGTGATTGCCCAAAATCCTCACTAATATTCCGGTAAAGTCAGGTAATGATTTCTCGGTAATAAACTTGGTAATAATGTTTTACCAGGTGGTAAGAATTCGTTACCATGATGGTAAAACTTTATTACCAAGCCATTACCACTTGGTACAACTTTTTATTACCACTGTGGTAGAGTTATATACTTGTGCTATTTGGTAATATTTATTACCAGATTATTAACAGTGCTTAATTTCTATAAAAATGCAACTCTGCGTGAATGGAGAGTACATATCGTCGTACTATTTCTATAAAGACCGAAGTGCAGTCGATGAATAGTTTTAAAAAGACCGAACTACAGAAAACAAATTCTAAAAAGACCTAAGTGCATGTATGTATTTACTTATGGCTAAATCGCGCGATATGTGAAGAATCGTTTTGGCAAGATATAGCCATAAGTAAATACATGCTTGCACTTAGATCTTTTTAGAATTTTCTTCTGTAGTTCGGTCTTTTTAAAATTAATCATCGATTGCACTTCGGTCTTTATAGAATTAGTACGACGATATGTACACAAATATTTATGTACGTAATTCTACATGTGTACCTGGGGTAACTTGAATTTCTTTGGATCACACGGTCCATCCTATGCGTCATGTACATACACAAATATGTATATTTGTAAATTATATTTTGTGAAAAAATATGTATGTAACCAGTTTCCAATTTTTTACCAGGAGGCACGTTAGAAATGGTTTGTCTGGAAAAAAAATCTATCAAATCGATCGTTAGAAATTTGAACATTATTTTGCAGAATTTTTCAAAACTGTAACCTTAAAGGCATCCTTCATCACTTTGACCGCTTCGTCAGTAAGGCTGCAATCTTCTTGTGCCTAATTTTATAACGAGAATATTCATTACGTGGTCGCACCGTTAGGATAAAAAAAGCTATGAAAAAATTGGCGTTAAAATTTAAATTCTAAAAATGTCGAAAAAAGGCTGGAGGTTTTTTTCGATTATGTAAATATGTTACGAAGCGAGCAGGCAAACCAGAGTTGCATAATTCCCGTGTTTTTTTTCAGGTTATTATTGGCTCAATCCGTTTTAATCGGATGAGGATTTTTTAGAGTTCAAAAAAATGGATAGAATTGAATTTTTTTGAGAAAATTGAATATTTAGTCATAACGCAGGTAAAACTGGTAATGACTACCCGTATTTATTAATTTAGTAATTTATTAACTGGTAATAAATTAGTTTGTACTTGCCTCAGAAACTGCGAAAATCAGGGAATAAGCGAGAAAAAAATAAGTCGTCGGATGCATTGTAATTAGGTTCCAAAATGTGATCTAATCCGAAGATTAAGATTGTGAAGAATAAGAATAAGGATCACAAATCAGGCATTTTATTGGATGCGAGTTCGCCTCTAGAATCGCAATGATGGATAATTCAATTATAATTTAATCAGAATATTTCTCGTAGGTGGCCTGGAATACTTGCGAGCGGGAACGTGCATAAAGTACGTCATAAAAAAAGTCGTTTTTTAAGTGTACAATCCTCTCCTTCCCTACTCTATTCAGGTTAAGCTTAACACAGGCAGGATTGACCACCTAAAACCATAGTTCGGATATTTTGCGTACTCCGGCCTACGCGTACTCCGGCCTCCGGCCTCCCACGCGTACTCAGGCCTCCGGGTACTCCGGCCTCCGGAAATAGTCGCGTACTCCGGCCTCCGGAGGCCGGAGTACGTACTCCAAGCCCGGAGTACTCCGATCTATGCCTAAAACAACCCACTCGCCTGTTTGACTATGTAATATATGGACGTTCCACGTGATTCTAACTCCATATGAAATTTAAATTTAGATGGTACGCCCGCCTTGGCTTTAAAAATTTATTCCGGCACGCGGATTTAATTGCTGTGCAATTCTTTACATTATCACATTCAAACATAAATAAGTTTGACGTGCAATCATTACTTTACTGCGTGACTTTCAAGTAGATGGTTTGAATTATGATGCAATTTGTGGAAAAAGATTGACTACTGATTTTTGACAGTGACAGTGAAATGGAAAATTTGTGTATGTATTTATTGTCCAATTTTCAGCGTACTTGTTAAATTGAAATATCTAAGCAATTCTGGTAGAGCCTCTGGTGAACATTGTGCCAATTTATTCATACGGATAGGCATGCTTAATATGAAAGTGTGAAATTTTTTAAACTTGATAATGTAAAAATTAATTTTAAATTGTTCACGCTCAGAAATTAGCGGACCCATAGTTTTGCGTTTTTTTTACCAGAACGTTTTCGCTTGGGGTTGAATTTTTAAATAAATGTGTACCATAAAATTTGGATTTTTCGAAATGAATAACTTCTCGAATTTCAGCCTATTTTTAGAAATTAGGCACAAATTTTACTCCAAATTTTTGAAAATCTTTGAAATTATTTAAAAAAAATCATTTTCAAATTTTTTAAGTGAAGATTTTTATGCTATTTATGCATGTTTAAGAAATGAAAAAAAACGTCTTTTGCAAATGATATTGGAGGTATGAGAAGGTTGGAACGAGTACTGCATGAAAAATCTCCCGGTTTTTGGAAACTCCTTCCTCATCCGACCCATCTAAGGGTTAACATGAGTAAGATAAAGTCGTACTAATTATATAGACCGAAGTACAGTCGATGATTAATTTTAAAAAGACCGAACTACAGAAAAAAAATTCTAAAAAGACCTAAGTGCAAGCATGCATTTACTTCTGGCTATATCTTGCCAAAACGATTCTTCATATATCGCGCGATTTAGCCATAAGTAAATACATGCTTGCACTTAGGTCTTTTTAGAATTTTTTTTCTGTAGTTCGGTCTTTTTAAAATTAACTATCGACTGCACTTAGGTCTTTATAGAATTAGTACGACGATAAGCAACTCAAAACCACTCACCCACTTTTCTTACGTATGTATGCAATACATATGTATCTGCGCAATCCCACCCTCGTTATACATACACACAAAAATTGACCATGTAACCCTGCCGTGGAAATGAGAGATAACCTTCACCATAATCTTGGAGAAGTTGGGTCAGTCCAACTCCCTAAGTCTGACAAGTTAGGAATAAAAGCAGCTCAATAAACACTGAGAAAACTGGTTTATTTGTAAAAATGTGAAAGCGATGCACACTTAGAAAACTAGTACATATTTATTAAATCATCACTGACAATGCAAGTCTTTCACGTGTATAAATGGGACCAATTTTATTTTGTTCAGCACAAAAAATGAACATATAAATATCCCGTAAATATTTTTTCATTTTTTATAATGCCCTAATTTGAGCGCGTGGCGCGAATTTTAAATATTTTTCCAGCCAAACCTAGGTTTAAAAAAATCCTTAATTTTTCGAATTTTATCAGAAATTCTAAATCATGTCTCACTAACTTGTTGCTCTCTCTTTCGCATCTCCGCAAGTTCTGCGGAGAAATTTTGTTCCTGGAGAGGGTCTCTTTTCTAACTAAAATGGTCAAAAAATAATCCGGGTGGAATTTGTCTAAAGCAAACTACCACCAATCTGGTGAGGAGTTTTAACCGAATCAATGCCAGTGTTGGGTAGATAGATACATATGTGATTAAACAAAATTTTTAATACAAAGTTGATGCACTTGTCTTTAAATGCAAAGTACATATGCAAATACGTAAATATGTACATATACATATTTATATTGTGTATGTACCATGACGCAAATCTACCTTAAGCTCGCTCCATCGCTATAAAAGCATGACGAAATTTCTTCATTCTGCATTTAAGGTGGAATTTTCCTGCTTAATTATGCATTATGTAACCGATGCTAGTCTGTCCAATTATCAGTGAAATTCCTATTTTTCGCCCTTTATCAATTTTCATAGCTTAAAATTTGGATAATTTTGGGCAAATAAAGAATTCTTAATAATTTGAACGGATAGTTACCACGATTCAAGTAAAAATGGAGTAAGAACAAGGCCTGACTCGGGCTCAAGTAAGCATGTACTAGATCCTCTCTATCCATGCATTCAATCTAAACCAGTTACATACATAAATATGATCCAGTTCGACCTACCTCACTGGAAAGGTTATATAATGTACCAACTTTTCAAGGAGATTACCCACTTTGTCAGAAGCACCTGGCCAAGCTCAAATTATTTGTACAGGCGTAGCCTCAAGTAATTTTGACGAAATAAGTAAAACATACATAAGAAAATGACAAGTCTCAAGTTTTCTGTGGTTTTAATTTTTGCAATTTCGGTAATTAAAATTTTTATAGTGCTAATTTCAAATCCTGATTTATTATACATAAATATTTTGTAAATCAGATTGTATCCACTGCGCCACCCCCAGAACGGAAATGCCGCACGGTGTGGACCGACCTTAATAAACTCGAGTTACGGCAGATCGGAGTCTGTACCAAAGAACTGGGATGGAAGGGTGGGAGAGAAAAGACGCAAAAATCAACGGTATATTTGCACCCTTAAAAATAATGCTATGTATCTTTTTGAAAATGTAAATGTACATACACTGAATTGGAAATTAGGTTAGTGTTACGCTGAATTTAGTTTAAATTTAGAATTCAGAGTGCATTTACTCTTCCATTTTTTAGAGTGTATTTATATAGCAGAATAAATGGTATCTTTGATTTTGTACTGTACAATTAGTTAAGTAAGATTTAAGTATTTAATATATATTAAAATTCGTATTTCCAGTGCACCATGAAATGCGTTTTGACAAAGGAAGGCTTAATTCAGGAGGATGGTCACTTATCCATCACGAACTACAACTCTTATCTTCTCGACCACTTTCCCCCATCCCTTGTGGAAAGATCCAACGAGACATTTTTCCCCTGCTTTGAACTCTTTGAAGGTAACGAATTAATAACAATTCGCCTTCAAATTTATTAAGGGGTGAAAGCCCTTTATAAGATCATTATGTCCGTCTGTCTGTCCATCTGTCCGTAGCTCCGATAACTTTTGAACGGAAAGACATAGAGACTTGAAATTTTGAACGTAAACTCCTAACGTCAAGGGACAGGACGAGTTCGAAGATGGACCCTATGGGTCACACCCTTCAAGATCAAAGGTCATGAAATGTCATCTTAAGGTCAATTTTACGGATAGCACACTTCTTTCACCCCTGGCTTACATGCGTTGTAACGGTTTATTTAGTCTAATTACATCTATGTATGTACACACTAAAAAATATCTGTAATGCTACCTTTTCGAAAAGTAAATGCGGTCTGAATTTTATATTAAGTCAACTACATATCCTAACTCCGGAGTAGCGTTAGCCTGATGAAGGGTATGTAAAGTTTACGCGGGTTTAGGTACTATCGTTTAATCCATATTGAAGTCAGACCGAGTTTATGTAGTTTGCGAAGGGGTGACATTATTTTTAAGTGTGTGTTACACTTAAATATTTTAAATGCCACGCTACAAAGGAAAATTTCGCAACAAGAAAAGCCCATAGATCTCCATTATGTAGTTATGAAGATGTAGGCTTGAGCTTTTTGTTAATTATTCAACTCTAATATCAAAATTCTTATAACAAAATTCGCAAAATGCTGAATTTCACAGGCAAAATTGGTGGTAACTGGTGGAGATTTACGAATCATTCTATTAACAAATTTGTCCACTGTAGCGTGACATTCAAACCACCCTGTGGTTCAAATATATGCGTGATTTTGATTTATGCAATAGGGACAAACATTGGAGTGGATCCAGACTGCAAGGAATACGAGCCTTTTACGAAATGTCTTACGAAACGATTTGCCGATGTATGTAATCCAGTATTGATTTCTATAAGTTTTTATGCACTAATTTCATGAATAATTCTGTTTTTTATATTTTATTTTCCAGTTATGCAAAGGTCTTCCATGAGGGAATTGGACTATTTTTACTTGACACTGATGCATCTTCACCCATTTCAAAATATGTTTGTTTCGTAGACGATTAACATTGCTAAAAAACAAAAAAATACTTGAAAGCTTTACCTTTTAAAATTAGTTATTCGTCTTGTGAATGAACTTTATTAATAAATGTGTTATCAAATAAGTATTAAATTGGCATATTTTTTACAAATTGGTCACGGTTAAATTGGCAAAACGGAAATGAATCAAAATTTATACTAACTAGCATATAAGCCCGTCTCCCGCCGAGCGAGGGACAATTATAAGATACAAATATCTGTAAGGAACGGAAATGACAGACTTAATTTTTTAGTCTTGAATTTATTTTGAATTTTCGCGCCATTTGAAACTCAACTTTCTCTATTTTCACTTCCGTCACCGAAAATTACTTTCACTTCCGTTGCAGACAGACATTTCCAGCTTATAATATAGGTGGCGGGATTACATATTATCAACAATGGCCGACACATCCGGCAGCGGCCCCCTGGCAACTTATCCCTGAGCAGGATCCCCCCGTGCAAGAGGCAGTCTCACATGGCCCCTGTTTCCCCGTGTAACACCAGCTCCCCGAGGATCCCGAACAGTACCGCCAACACCACCCGGCCGGCGCCCACTTCCGACTGCACCCCGTGCTCCCAATTTGCCCCTCAGTTACGGACACGACAACCACGAGGACCACGGCGCAAAGGAGGAGAATTCGAGACGACTGCATTTCTGAAAATTACAAAAATAATAAGTTTTCACAAAAATAAAGGATAAAAGGGATTCTATAATCTTTAGTCTTTAGGCGTTAGTCTTTAGTCTTTTTAATCTTTGAGTGTTTTGAATCTAGCCAAAAATTCGGAAATGGTAGAACTTTTAGTTTTACTTTGGTTATATAAAATTTCTTACATATGTGACCAAAATACGGAAATTAATTCAACGGAAAAATATTGCTGACCAATTTTGAATTTTGAAAAAAAAAATCTCAAATAAAAGAGCATCACCTACATATTTACACGTATTCAGAAACATTACGAATTTGTACTTCAGCAAAAAAAATATTGAAAAAGGGTAATATCTGCTAAGAGGTAGAATTCTGTGAATTTTTAAACTATGTAAATATATTATAAAAATGGGTACCTTCGTGTTTCGATTTCTTAAAAAAAGTATGATTTCCACCGCAAAGTTTCCTTGAGCTTGTAAATATGAAGTTGAATTGCTTATGATTTTGATTTCATGGTGGGAATTCTTTTTATACCGAGTGAGGCTACCCATCTTCGGGTACGCATACTTCGAAAATGTCAATTGCGCACGCTTTTACCCAGAAAAACTGTCCTTCTCGGAAAATGAGAGTTTTTGTGACGAGCAATCAAATGTATCGAGGGGACCGTGCATAAAGGATTTCATCCGTTTTGTCCTATTCCGAATTAATATGCACGCTTGCGTCCTTCTTTTTGAAATTAATTACATAGACACTACGAAGGGGAATACATACATAGTTCAAAAAATATTTTTAATATTTTTTAATTTTTTTGAGATAATATCTCACGCACGGTACCCTTACCAATTACACGTCCAGATTAATTTGCAATTTAAACGTTGTTTTTTTTTGTTTGTTGTTGTGCCGTACAACTACCGACGTCAGTGCTAAAAAATAAGTCGCACTGGGGTCCGTGCATTAAGGATACGATGAGTTTATCCCGCCCAAATAATAAGCTTGTTCATACGTAATATAAATAATTTCCGTTAGAAGGATGTATGTATTTATTGTACCGCTTTGACTGAATCAGTCAAACCTAAATGGACGACATGCGTAGTGTACTGTCCCTCAAGTGAGGATGATTTTACATATTTAGTATGGATGAAAACATGTTTTGGTGGTGAACAAGTGCATGAAATGAAATGATTCGCAAGTTTAACATAAATGCAAAATCCAGACAGACACAATTCCATGAATGGTTTTGGGATGTAACATTTTGAAAATTTTCCACTGAACTGTACATACATTCAATGTCTCTTATTCTCAATTTGTTAATTTATGTCGTGTTTTCATAATTGACCAAAGAAAAAATGCATGATATATGTAAATATGTATGATGATTCATCAGTTAATTTTGTATATTCTTCCATCCTACTAGTTAGATTAGATTAGATGCCTTAAAAATATATATTGCTACATACTTGTGTCATGGTGTGTAAACCAATTTGTAAAGAATTGATCTCTGTTGATACGTGAATAAAGGCTTAACAACAACAACAATAAAATCGGGTGTACGATCTTTGCAAATATTTGCTCACGTGTTTCTTACGAATTTCCCAGAAATGCGTCACAATTTTGATTACGGCAAAGGTACCCCAAGTGCGACCTTTTTTATTGTTCGATAATCTTAATATGTACGTAGCACAAATCGGTGTAACCAAAGTAATTAGCATGTTATGTTGGAAAACCAATTTGATGTTAGACATGAACAAATGATTATATACAGCATCGTGTCACCTTTCCACATCACTCATGAAGAATTGGTCATGTATTCATGCATGTGGAAATGTATCAAATGTCAATTTTGGGTCAGAATTTTGGTAAATTCTTTGATGTTCAAGGAATGTTGAAGGAATAGGAAATCACATACATAGATCGTCTGCATGCAGCATGTATGTATGCAGCCGATAATTTCTACTCGCGGGTTTGGCGGTGAGACGTACATACATATCTTTTGTACCTGGTTTTGATTAAAATCGACAGTTGCCAACTTTTCAGTACTTATTTATCTCGAGTCGACATCGATACTCGAATTCTTCATATCTTGCATACATAAATTTAGCAAATATTGGGAACTAAATTGGTCTCAATTTTTGACATCGTTGCTCTAACTGTGCAAAATTACCTTATCTAGTGCCCAGTTGTTGCACTGTAAATATTTTGTTACGAAGCTGAAAATCGGTTCTAAAGAAAATTATTATGTATAATAACATATGTACATATAATAATACGTATATTATATGTGCATAATGTACAATGTATAATGTGTATAATATACATATATATATAATACATATAATATGTATATTTAATAACCTTGGAATTCGAATAGATCGAACTTCAATTTAGTCTTTACTATATTTGTAGCATACATATAACATTAAGCGACGCACGTATGTATTTCCTGTTGAATCTTATTAACAATAATAATAAATAAAACACATTCAAGGCATTAACCATTAACGTGTATGTATTTATGAGCCGTCAAAAATTACATACACCTTGGTTCTCACATAGCAAGATATAAGCACAATTTTGTCCTTACATATCACGCCATTGACGACGCGGACAATTCCAGTTACCTTCACAAATTTACTCTTGCAATAGCTAAAAATGAAACATTTATTAGCAATGTTTCCCAACTTACTGTCAATATTCCTAGCAATTTTGCATCTTTCTTGCGAACAAAAACCAACGTTTGATAATTTCCTTCAGTTATTTACTGACTGCACGTTAGAAATTTTCACAAGCAAAAATTACGATTTTGACGACCCACGTTTCTGGATATCGGAGACCAACCTCAATTTTCCTAAATTGGTCAAAGACATTAAAATGTATACTCGGTTAGTGTCTGACGCTGGAAAAAATAAAACGGTTAAAGAATATTTATTATCCAAGGAAAATTTTTTCCAGTCAATAAATGCAAAAGATTGTTGCCGAATTGGATTCATTGACTTGCAAGAAGGCGAGGAATTGGATCTGTCCAAGAGCACTTATAGTCTATTTCGTCTAATGGCTCAAAATCCGCAACCTCACCACGTATTTATCCGCGTAGGAATTCCTGCACCTGCTGATTTCCCTTTACCAACAGAAGGTCAATTCGATTACACATTACGCTTTCTGATAGCCAACATCTACGAAATGTATATTAGGGGAAATACGGTTACTGTATTACTCCCAAACGCGTACTTTGAACTGGTATTCAGTGACAAGGAGGCCAACATATTGAAATCAGATATGGACCCAGACCAGATCTCAAAAAGAGAGCGACACTGGCGAGACTTAGACACAATGCTCCAAAGTGGATTTAGAAATATGGAGAATATGGAGATCTACGTTAAGGAAATAAAGCTCACAAAGTATGAGATAGACCAGTACTACAAAATTTGTGGGATTTACAAAATCAGGGATTCCCCCTCCCCTTTTTCATGCATCACGACAACATTACGCCGCAAATTTAATTTTACCATCGTATTCACGTGGGGGAGTAGTAGTGTGAACCTATACTACGCGCGAGTAAACAACGACATTTTACGGGGTTCTTTTGAAGACGTATTCCTACAACCAAATCATTACCCAAATCGGGTTGTACCGGGAACTAAAAACTGTTGTGTTTAGTAGAAACCAGGAATCAGACGGGTTCGCTTTGATAACTTCATTTGATTCGCAAACTTGGATTTTCCTCCTTTTGCTTCTATTGTGCCTAAATATTCTTCTAAATCTTTCCCCATCTGGGAATGTATTCCCTTGGTACGTTTCCTTTATTCTGGTGAGGTACTTAATGGATCAGTTAGTAAATATTGTAAAATCGTCTGGAGAAAAAGAAAACACGATCCTTCGAACCATTCTTTTGTGTTGTGCAGTCCTTGCGATGAATATTGGTAACTTGTTTCGTGCAACATACACATCACAGCTGACCACAAAGACTTTACCAGATATGATTAGCGATTTAAATAGCATCGCGTTTTCCTCCATCCCAATTGTAACCACAGGGAGGGAAATCCATAGTTTTGCACATCATGCAAAAGAGTTTACCTCTTTTCTCACAGACGAAATTGAAACGCGACTAATCGTGGATGTTAATAATTCAAACATTTACAGCATCCTTAATAGGATAAACGATCGCACAAACTTTTTACTATCTTCGTGGTATGATTTCGCATTTAATGTTAGCAAGAAGCTCCCAATGAAGACTCACAATGGATACAAGCCAAATCCTGAAATTTTTGTGCTAATGGACGAAGAGGTTGCTTGCGACGCCCTAATTAAACTTTTGGCCTTTAATAAAGCATATTTCCCTATTTCGTACTGGAGTTCGGGTATATATACTGCAAGATATATGTACTTTGCAAGCAGCACTTCGGTTGGTAGAATCTTATCTCCTGGGTTTAAAGGCTTGCAAGAATCTGGGATATATTACTGGTGGCAGCACCGGTTTTCTGATCGGGGGCTGCTACATCCAAGTAGCTTTTACACTAATAAGTCTTACCTTGGAACTGATTTGCACAGAGCACTTATTCACTGGCCGCCGAAGAAGTTACCAGAATTTGAAAACGATGTCGTTGGACTGAGAAATTTTATTATGTTTGCGTATATCCTCGTATTTTTTTATTTCTTGTCTGGACTATTGGCCTTGCGCGAGGTTTGTTGTCGCCGGGAAACAAGGCGGAATATATGTATGCAACTTGGTTAGGCAGGGATAGTTAACAAACGAATCCGTGCGTGGCACTTGGAAAAGATTTTGTGCAATCAATTTTGCATTGTGTAATTGAACAAAGACACAGGTTTGACAAGCCATAAAACATATTTTTAAATGCTGCTTAACTTTACAACACAACGTATGTACCTAGTATTGAACAGTTACAAGGACACACAAGTTTATGGGTTAATCAAATCAATATTTACTTCAACTAGATATCTTATTGCTTAAATAGTTATATGACGAGTAATGAGTCCTACGATTGAACAGTTTATATACACAATCAGAATTTAACTGCATGAATATGCCATCAGGTAAAATACATTAACATACATACATAAGTTATGAAAAAATACGCCGTATTGTTTATTCTTCATAAAACATTATATTAAAAGTAAATAAGTAATGTGCGCCACAATAAAATAAAGTTTGTTTGGTAATACACCACTGATTTGTAATTTTTAACACTATTCGCAGACACATACATATGTAAAAGTACAAAGATATGTATGTATACATGTACATTGATGCAACTGCATGTTTGTGAGTGTATTTTGTTAACGAGGCACTTTTAGGCAAGGACTACATTGGACTTGGATGTTTTCCGCCAAAAATTGATTCTCATAAGGACTGGACGTTGCTCGATGCGGTGGAAGAGGAAGGTCAAACTGCGCTACAATTTCAAGACCTATAAATTTTTGTGATGACGAAGATTATCCGATCAACTCATATAGAATTGCACACCCAAGGAAAAAATTCGTAACTTTCGAAATAAATTTTCCAGCTGCGTATAGCCATGGAGTCAAACCGGTCA